AAATGTCAAAGTTTACTATATTGTAGTCGTTTGTTTTGCAATTGGTAAGATTTGTAAAGCCTGAAATTGTCAAAATAAGAAGCTGTAGGTTAGGCTATATATTAGGCTATGGTTGATTTTTAGTGTTGCTAGATTGGTTATAAATTGTCACCTCAGTACCGTGTATCTGGGCGAGAGAGAAGTGAATGAAATTAATTAATCTGTGAAATTCCTCTCTTCCTTGTTCTTTTCATGTAAAAGCGGTGAGTAAATAATATCAATTGTGAGATTATTTTGTAATACAAAAGTCTCTTCTTTCTTCTTTTATACTTGTGCATGTGTGTATATGAGTTTGTTAGTGAGAAAGAAAATATTATTTGAATGCATCATGTCTCTATGCCAACATATTGGTATCAGAGCTTGAGTGTGTAAAAAAAAGGGAAAGAGTCACTCTAATAAAAAAAAAAATTCAGAAAGTTGAGAGTTAAAAATTTTAGAGAGAGATATGGCAACCAACTTTAATATTGTGTGGTCAGGTCCAAAATTAGATGGGAAACTTGATTTTAATTATTGGGAGATTTTGATGACTACTCATCTAAAAGCTCACAATATTTGGAGCTTGGTAGAACCAAGCATTCAAGAAGGAGATGATGAAGCTGCTAAGAGAAAGGACCAGTTAGCACTCTCACAAATTCATCAAGGTGTAGATTATTCAATTTTTGGCAAAATAGCAAATGCCAAAACGGCCAAAGATGCATGGAGCATTTTGAAGTTGTCATACCAAGGAGTAGATAAGGCCCAGAAATCAAAATTGCAAACTCTGCAAAGAGAATATGAAATATGTGAAATGTCTAGTTCATAAATCATTGAACAATATTTCTCACGTGTCGCATACCTCTTCAATAAGATGAGGGTATATGGTGAAGACATAAAAGAAAACAAGGTGGTGGAGAAAATTCTTCGAAGTATGTCAATGAAGTTCGATCATGTGGTGACTACGATAATAGAGGCTCACGACATTGATAAAATAAAGGTAGCAAAGTTGCAGGGTAGCATTGAAAGCCATGTTACCAGAATCTTGGAGAAAACAGAAAAAGTAAATGAAAAAGCTTTGAAGAGTTAGGTGAACCTCTACAAAGTTGTTGAATCCAATCAAGATTCAGAAAGTAGGAGTGGTGATAATTACAATAACAAAGGTAGAGGAAGCTGGAGAGGCCGAGGACGTGGAAATTGTGGAGGAAGAGGACGTGGCAACTTTAATCAAGGAAGAGGCAATACTTATGGAGTTGGTCAAGGAAGAGGAGGAAACAACAACGGGCCAACCAACAAAGGTCGAGGAAGAGGAAGTTATTACCAAAGAAACAACTACCAGGAGAGAACCAATTACAACTGTTACAACTGTGGGAAGTTCAGGCACAAAGTAGCAGACTGTAGATACTCACAACAAGCAAATATTGTGGAGAATCAAAACAAAATTGATGGTGAGAGTTCTGATAACACACAGTTTATTTTTGGCAATTAATAATTTTGTCAGAAGATGAAAATATTTGGTACTTCGATACCGGATGTAGCAACCACATGTGTCGAAGAAAAGAGTTTTTTTCGTAGCTAGATGAAACGGTTAGATCAACCGTGAAATTTGACATTGGGAGAAGGCCAGATTGTAGTCAGTTCTCAGAATTATATCTCTGATGTTTTCTATGTTCCTGGTCTTCATCATAACTTGCTGAGTATGGGACAATTATCACAAAAAGGATGCGACATGCGGATTCATAATGGTTACTGCACGTTGATTGACAGAAATAAGAGACTCATTGCCAAGGTAAAGATGACTTCCAATCGCCTGTTCCCCAGCATGGAAAATTTTCTTGCTTGAGTTCAATAATTCCAAATGATGATTGGCTATGGCACAAGCGTTTCAGGCATTTTCATTTCTCCGATTTGAATTTTCTGTTAAGAAAAGAATATGTTTTTGGTTTGCCTGTTGTCAATACTCCAAAAGATGTATGTGAGACATGTCAGATTGGAAAGAAGCATAGAGAACCATTTCCTTTAGGAAAGTCTTGGAGAGTAAGACAGTCGTTGGAGATAGTGCACTCAGATTTGTACAGTGTTGAGATACCCACTCATGGAGGTAATAAGTATTTCATTACTTGATTTTAGCAGAAAGACGTGAGTTTATTTTCTGGAGCAGAAATCAGAAGCCTGTGATGCCTTTAAGTTATTCAAGGCATTTGTGGAAAAAGAAAGTGGCTACAAGATAAAAGTGCTGAGAACAGACAGAGGCAAAGAATATCTTGGCTATGCAGATTATTTTCAACAGCATAGGATCAAACATCAGCTGACAACCAGATACACTCCTCAACAGAATGGAGTAGCAGAACGGAAAAACAGAACAATCATGGACATGGTGAGATGCATGCTGAAGGCCAAACAGGTTCCCAGAGAATTTTGGACAGAGGCAATTGCCACTACTGTTTATATTTTGAATAGGTGTCCGATAAAGAGTGTACGTGATAAAACTCCCGAAGAAGCTTGGAGCATAAGGAAGCCCACAATCAAACATCATAGAGTTTTTGGGTGTATAGCTTATGCCCACATACCAGATAAGCTCAGGAAGAAACTAGATGACAAAGGAGAAAAATGTGTTTTCATCGGCTACAGCTCCAACTCAAAGGCATACAAATTGTACAATCCAGTAACAAAGAAGTTGATTATCAGTCGAGACGTGACGTTCGATGAGCAAGGAATGTGGGATTGGTCATCAAAATCCCAAAAGGAGCCAACAGTAATTCCAGGTAGTTGTGAAGAAAATGAAAGACAAGAAGAAGATTCAGTTCCAAATATGCTAGATGTTCCAGAAACATCTAGTAGACCACAGAGGAAGCACATAAGACCAGCCAGATTTGGGGACTATATTGTGTACAATGATAATGATCCATCTGATGAGGAGATTTTCAATTTTGCTTTGTTTGCAGATTGTGAACCTGTGACTTTCGAAGAAGCTGCTAATGATCAAAATTGGATAAAAGCCATGGATGAGGAGATTCATTCCATTGAGAAGAATAAAACCTGGGAGCTAATAGATTTGCCAGCAAACAAGAAGCCAATCGGTGTGAAGTGGGTGTATAAGACAAAATCCCAACGGAGATGTTGATTGCTTTAAAGCAAGGTTGGTAGCAAAAGGGTATAAGCAAAAACCAGGTATTGATTATTTTGAAATTTTTGCTCCTGTTGCGAGGATGGATACAATTCGCATGATTATTTCTCTGTCAGCACAAAATAATTGGAAAATATATCAAATGGACGTGAAGTATGCTTTTCTGAATGGTACTTTGGATGAAGAAGTATATGTTGAGCAGCCTGCAGGTTATGTGGTCAAAGGAAAAGAAGATAAAGTCTACATATTGAAGAAAGTATTGTATGGCTTGAAGCAGGTACTAAGAGCGTGGTACAAGAAGATTGATTCTTATTTTGTGCAACATGGCTTCCAGAGATGTTCGTTTGAGCACACACTTTATGTTAAATTTGTTTATCCAGAAAATGTTCTAATAGTGTGACTTTATGTTGATGATTTAATTTTCACCGGCAATAATTTAAAGATAATTGCAGAATTCAAGGAGGCTATGACACGTCATTGTGAAATGACAGACTTGGGCCTAATGTCTTATTTTCTAGGCATTGAGGTCATTCAGAGAGATGATGGATTTTTCATATCTCAGAAGAAGTGTGTAGGTGATATATTGAAGAAATTCAAAATGGAGAATTCAAAGCCAGTTTCCACACCGATTGAAGGAAAGTTGAAGTTGACAAGAGACGGTGGAGGCAAGAGAGTTAACGCAACTCATTATAAAAGTTTAATTGGAAGCCCTAGATATTTAACTGCAACTAGACCAGATATTGTCTATGGAGTAGGGTTGTTCAGCAGATTCATGGAAGAGCCTCGTGATTGTCATCTGCAAGGAGTTAAAAGAATTCTCAGATACATCGAAGGTACTCTGATTGAAGGAATTTTTTATGACAAGAATGTTGATGTGAAACTATTTGGCTACACAGAGAGTGACTGGGCAGGTGATATAGAAACAAGAAAGAGTACGTCAGGGTACGCATTTCATCTTGGTAGTGGTGTAGTATCATGGTCTTCAAAGAAGCAACCAGTCGTTGCACTTTCAACGGCTAAAGCAGAATATATAGTAGCGGCAAGTTGTGCAACCCAAACAGTGTGACTGAGAAGAATACTTGAAGTGATGCATCAGAAGCAAGTTACTCCCACACAAATATTCTGTGATAATAAGTCTACCATTGCATTATGCAAAAATCCTGTTTTTCATGAGAGGTTCAAGCATATTGATATTCGGTTTCATACGATTCGGGAGCTAGTAGTAGAAAATGAAGTAGAAATTGATTATTGTCATAAGGAGGAATAAGTTGCAGATATTTTCACGAAACCGTTGAAAGTTGAGTTATTCTACAAGTTGAAGAAGATGCTTGATATGATACAAACTTGACTTAAGGGAGGCAATGTTAGAATTATAAATCAAGATTTGTGTACCAAGTTGCATCGTTTGTTTCTTTGTTTGTATGCATTAGTTGTTTATTGAAAATGTCAAAGTTTACTGCATTGTAGTCGTTTGTTTTGCAATTGGTAAGATTTGCAAATCCTGAAATTGTCAAAATAAGAAATTGTAGGTTAGGCTATATATTATGCTATGGTTGATTTTTAGTGTTGCTAGATTAGTTATAAATTGTCACCTCCCGTGTATCTATGTGAAAGAGAAGTGAATGAAATTAATTAAGTTGTGAAATTCCTCACTTCCTTGTTCTATTCATGTAAAAGCAGTGAGTAAATAATATCAGTTGTGAGATTATTTTGTAATACAAAAGTCTCTTCCTTCTTCTTCTATACCCGCTGTGCATGTGCGTATATGAGTTTGTTAGTGAGAAAGAAAATATTATCTGAGTGCATCATGTCTCTATGCCAACATTGATGGTGCTGCAGAGCATTTGCTTCCACATTGAATATGGCTGAGGCTAATGCTGGGTTGTTGGAGTGACCAACGAAATATAAGCGCCGCTTTCTGCATGCTTTGTACCGTGTTGGTGATCTTGATCGCACCATTAAGTAGGATTTTTGTTCACTTGGGTTGTTGAAGTTCGCTTTGACGTGTGCTTAGATGCTCAGTCTCCTAACTATTGTTTCAGGTTTTATACTGAATGTTTCGGGATGAAGCCTTTGAGGAAAAGAGATGTTCCAGAAGAGAAATATGCCAATGCTTTTTTTGGATTTGGTCCCGAACAATCCCATTTTGCTGTGGAATTGACTTATAGTATGTTTCTTGTATATTTAGTTTTTCTTGTGATTCTCTGATTTATGTACCTTTTGTCTAACAACGGATTGAATTGGACATGACCTATGTCCACATGTGATGTTTTTGGTCAGATTATGGGGTGACCTCATATGATATTGGAACTGGCTTTGGACATTTTGCTATTGCAACTCCAGATGTAAGCCTGAGTCTTGCCTTCACCCCTGCCTGACCATTTATTTTGTTGGATAAAATTAAATATTAGGTTTAAATGTTAGTTTTTACATATTTTGTTTAAGCAAATATTTATGTTAGTTTGGATTTTGTGCTGAAATTGAAGTGTATCTATCTTCCACTTTTAGGTTTACAGATTAGTTGAAGACATCCGGGCCAAGGGTGGAAATGTCACCAGGGAGCCTGGTCCAGTTAAGGGGGGACATCTGTTATTGCCTTCGTGAAGGATCCTGATGGTTATGCTTTTGAGCTCATCCAAAGACCTTCAACTCCTGAGCCATTGTGCCAAGTAATGTGCTTCGTGTTGGTGATTTAGAGCGCTCAATAAAGTTTTATGAAAAGGTACAACTTAAAATTTATAATTTTTCAGATTTTATTGGTACTATTTGCTTTTCTGTATAGAAACTCATCTTCTGCTGATATTTTGATGATAAAACTTCTTTGTATCATGTCCCTCAATGATCTACTGCCTTGTTTATACTCCATTGGTAAACTGGTAAATCAATTATAGGCATGTTGGATGAAATTCCAGAGAGAAGGTTCTGTGTTCAGTATATTCAGTCACACAATAAGTAAATCTTTCTTATCAATTTAAAAACCACTTTCTGTCATGCCTTGAACTAACTGCCTAAAAGCTTAAGCTTTTAGGTGAATGGATTGTATGTCCAACATGTTGCATGGTACTCTAATTATCCATTCTACTTTTCTCTCTTGAGGTGGGGAATGTGGAGAGTGAAGCCTGGGCTTGAGTTGGATGTGTAGGGTCTAGTGCTTATATTGATAATTGAAAAATCTCATTAATTGATTTGCGTGGCATTCTGGATCTGGATTGGAATTATGAGCTGTTACTTGTAATGGACATGAAAAATCCTGATATTGCATCTGGTATATTATGTTTTTAAGTTTTGTTCTTTAAGTGTGTGTGTGTTTTAATGGCATACATTTCAATGCTCATTCAACCCAATCCCTTGGGTTCGGGTAGTTGAAGTGCATTTCTGTTTGAGCCATTAGAACGGGAAACCAAACACACCTGCTGGATTTTATTAGCTAAGGATCAGATTTTGGTTCTTATTGGATCATGTTTGTGCAGGCTTTGGGTTTGAGGGTCGTAAAGAGGGCTGATAGACCTGAACAAAAGGTGAGTTTCCTTCTTAATCTTAGTAATCCACTTAAGGCAGGACATATATCATACGTTAGCTTTGATTTATAAGTTTGCCCGGATTATGTTGCATATATTACAGTATACTATAGCAATGCTTGGGTATGCAGAAGAGCATGAGACAACTGTGTTAGAGCTTACATATAACTATGGTGTCACTGAATACACCAAGGGAAATGCCTATGCACAGGTTGGTAAATACTTGTTTATTAGGTTATATTTCTTTATGGAAGCCTAAATCAGTTCTTCACATTTCTGTTCTCCGTGATCATCAAACTTATTTGTTGTATATAACAGGTTGCTATAGGTACCGATGATGTATACAAGAGTGCTGAGGTTGTGAACATAGTCTCGCAAGAGCTTGGAGGGAAGATTACTCGGCAACCAGGACCAATTCCTGGCCTTAACACAAAGATCACTTCTTTCTTAGACCCTGATGGATGGAAAGTTGTAAGTATTTTATTTTGATTAAATTTTGATGTTGTCAGGGTATGACTTACTTTCTATGTTGTTTTAATGTAGAATCATGAGCTGAAATAATAGGTTATTTATGAAGAAGAACACCTACATATGTGCTAACCCAGGGGCAACTATAGCCGTAATTAGTATACTTTTTTAGTGTCATAAACTATGAAATAGAATATGCATAAGCTATAGAAGGTTGCTTTAACTGAACTTGCATTACTTTTGAATAACAGAAACTTTAGTCTAATTATGAGTATGAACAAAACAATTTGTTTCTTCAGAGCTGAATGTTTATCGATTATGATTTATGAATGTGAAATGTAGAGCAGGAAGTTTCTCATGTATAACGAAAGGGTGTTTTAACCAGAAAATAATAAAGAATGTATGTAATATACCTATCAACATCCTTGACTTAGTGTCAAGGAATTCGTTCTGACTAACAACTTAAACTGATCATACATTGAGTTTTCTGTCAATTGTCATGGTTTGCTGAATAATCTTTGACTTGCTAATATAAAAGGATTTTTGTCTTGGCATATATTTAACTTTGTTAAGGTTCCAACATAAAATCAATTGGCAATACGTAGAATAACCTAACATGTATTTAAACCATAACAAATGACATGAGATAGGCGATGTGAGACTTTCAACACGCCCCCTCCAACGAAACCTGCCGGACCAGGCAAAGGGTAGTTTTGACCCAACTAAAGTACAACTTTTGGCCCAAGACAATAACCGGAAAGATGTTAGGCTTTGGTTCTGATACCATATTAAGGTTCCAACATAAAACCAATTGACAATATGTGGAGTAGCCTAACATGTATTTAAACCATACCAAATGACATGAGATAGGCGATGTGGGACTTTCAACAAACTTCTTTTTGTAAGCCTCAGCTTGTGTTTCTCTAATTATTGAATTTAACCTCATTGCTCGTACAGTTGTTTTGGAAATTTTTTTTATCGTGTGAAAGCCAAGTGGAGAAGTACTAATAGCATTATATATTAAGATTTTGTCACATTTCTGCACACTATTTTATTAAATAAAAATAAATATATAATAGCAATGCATTTTGAACGTGCATCTATTGCCTTTGTTAAATTTGTCTGCCACTGTTAATGACAAGTATTTGGTAAGTGGTGTGATTCATTTTGTATGGTTTTTGTAGGTTTTGGTTGACAATCAAGATTTTCTGAAGGAACTGGAGTGAAAAGGGTTATCTCTTCACAAAATATGAAGTAGTAGGGCTATTGTATGAATAAGTGACCAGATTGTGTTTACCGTAGTGGTTTTCAATATGGTTGGCTTTGTAAACATCCATTTGCTGTTTATCCCTTTGAAGTGTCTACCTCTTGACTAACATGCAACAGTACTTCAAAAATGGGAGATGAAATTCTGATGTTTTACAGCAGAACCTAAATCAACCTCAGCCCAATTGCCCTTGGACTCGCTGGTCCAATAAAATTGATGATATCAAATTCAATCTAGACTTTTAACTATAATTTTAATCTTTACGTTTGACAATCTTTTTTGGTAAAAAAATTCTCTTGTAGAATATCACTATATTTTTGGTATTCCATAGCACACCATCAAAATATTTTTTATTTATTTAATACAAAAATATCATATATTCAATAAAATAATAAAATATAAAGCTTATGAAGGACCAAACCAAAATCTATGGAATACTAGATTATTTAGCAAATTTATATTTAGGAAACTAAATATATTTTGAAAAAAAATCATATCTAATCCTAGAAGGTATATAATCATATTATTCAAACTAAATTTTTTTATCATGAATGTCTGATTATTCAAACTGAATTTTATTATAAATCTAATACTTATCATAACATTTACACATTTATTTTCTTTTTCTATAAATATAAGATATATAACCATGCATGTACGCACTTTTTTATATTTTACAAAATTGACAATTTATTTTTTACTTTTTATTTGAATTTTTAATTATTTATAATTTTATTTATTTATTTTTACTTTAAAAATAATTTTGTCATTGCATATAAAAGAATAGTTTCTCATGCTTATTATTATTATTATTATTATTTCTTTTTATTATATTGTGAATTATCTATGTAAGGATTTAATGGATAAGTTTAAAATCCTTTTAGAGACTAATAAATACTGTAAAATATATAAACTAAAATTGTTTAAACTTTTAGAGATCAAAATTATGAATTTTACATACTAAATTTCTTAAACTTGTTATTTATTTAATTTTGTGTTCCAACATTTTTGTTATTGAGTTGACAATTTTATTCCACTCCAATAAGAGTAGGTATACATAAATTGTTGCAATAATAATAATAATATTGGTTCAGCCTTGTAAGCAAGCACTTTGCAAGAGCAAATGTCATGTGATAGTGTTACAAAAGTCCCATGATTAACAAGACTCCAGAATTTCTCTCTTTACTCATTTCATTTTAAATCTAAATTTTTGCTGGATTTTTATTATAAAAAATCATTATACTTCCTAAAAACACAATGGAAAACTTCCATCAGTAATCAATGTAGATTTCGCAATTCGGGATGATATTCCACTCGGGACTTCTTTCATTTAGTCTCTAAACTTAACCCAAATTCAATCAACCACCAAGATTGACAAGAATTTGTTTGGGAGATTCAGAATTTCAGTGGTATTAGTTAGCAAGGGTGGGTGACAATTGTCTTTTCAGAAGTTTTTTAGTACATTGTTCCTTCTCAGTCCAATTTTAATGAAACTGATTCATGAAATATATACAAAAGATCCAAAACTAAATTCGAAAGCCGAAGAGATCTACACAGAATTTTGCTGTTTATGAAAAGGAATCTAATTTTGATGTCTGTGTCATCTATAGTTGATAGAAAATAAAGAAAAATGTTTGTCTCTGTTCTCCCCATGTGCCAAAACTATGATGGCATTCTAAAGCACCTATAATTAGAAGATAAAATGAATTTTAGACGAGGGATGAGGAAAAAGCTTTTAAAGGGTATTATCTCTTCTTGTATTTGATTCAAGATCAACCTGTTGTATCTGTTTATCCACTGGATAACAACCGAGAATGCGAAAAAATCTTGTATATTCCTGAAATGAAGGAGAAAAGAGTTAATGCTAAGCTAACAAAGAAAAACATAGAATACATTTTGCTAGCACAGATGGAACACTGGAACTCTAAGAATGTAGCAAGCAAGTTGCAAATGGAGCAGTTGTCTAAATGCTTTATTTTCCTATCTATGCCAGCCAACAAAAATTAAAACAAACCAAATAAGAGGAGCAAATTGAAAAAGAAGATGCTTTCGTAGCAATATTTTGGACAAGCTGTTGAGCCAAGCAGTAGAAACAGCACTAGTAAAACAATTGGATTCTATACATTATAATCATATAAGGAAATCCCACCATCAATGCAACATTGTAGATTGCAAACTAGTTTTAGCAAGTAGAAGAACACATTAAAGCATATGTGGAAGCTGGAATGAGTACAGTACTCAATAATAAAGGCCAGAAACAGGTTTAGAACATGAAGAGGCACAATTGACTATGTATGTATTCACACAAATTGATTCCATTGTGACTAGGAAAGACAGATCAATAAAATTGTAGAAAGGGAGTAATGATACTTTCATGATATGATTGTCTCACCTGCAAATTTTCTAAAGCATATCGTACACGTTGTTCCGCCAAAGAAGCTTCAAAATCAATGTAGAAAAGATACCGAAAGGACCTGTCACCAGAAAACTTCATGCCTTACTTTTTCCTACTTAGTTTGAACAACAAAATATATGCTTTTTCAGGGTAAAGATATAATAATATGCTTGATAATATCTATTAACTTGAATGAGATTTAATTGATTTTAATATTAAGCCCTCCAATTTTTCTTTGACTAGTTATGGCCATTTAATTGTACAGTCAATCTATAGTGTACATTATGATAGCATTGCAATTCTCAAAATGGAAAACAACATTCATTACTCACTTAGCACTTCCTTCATTTGAATCATCGACAGTTCTTGATGGACGCTGCTTCAGTGGACGACTCTCTATCTGAAACCACACCGAAGAAATGAGATAAATGAAGTATGATTTTTAATTTCTTAATATTATTGTAGCATACCTTTGACAAATTAATGTTCCTCAAGGCAAACGCTCCCAGGGCTTCGAATAGTACAGTAGGATCTTCGTCCAGACTGAAAACAATGCTAGTCTGGGGGAGAATTCGTGCACTCATCAGCAAATTCATAATAGTTATACATAAATGAATGTTTTTTTTTTTTTTCCTACCTTATAGGGCCTGTCAGTTCCTGGAATTATAGGATCCCTTGCAATTATCAGAAAGCGAGTAACATGAGCACCATCATCCTAACAAGAAGAAAAATGAATCAGCAAAACTTCAATCTTGAGATAACCCACAATAAAAACTTGGCATAAACATTGAAAATGATAAATAAGCATCATGTATCTTATCTATAAAAGGAAAGAAATATTTTAGAAGATGCTTATCATGAACGCATAAGCTCCCGGCTACAGTGAACTCATATTGTTTGTATGAGACATGTTGCGAAGAGAAACCATACTGTAAGAGTAATGTTGTAGCAGTTAAGTCTTCCAAAACATGTAACTGAAGTCTTACTTGGATTCCTTCTGCTAGAATGTCAAGGCCATATAGTTTTGCTGCCCTTGAACTTGCAATAGCTCCAATTTCCCTTCTTCCGTCTAAGGCCACAGCCTGTTCACAATGTCCCAATCATTATCAGGACATGCAACTCTACAACCTAATCAATATGCCTGTTTCAGTGAAGTAGAGAAAATATGAAAAATACCTTAGCAGCTGCAGCAGTATCATCTACACCAATATTGCTAACACCTAAATGACTCAGCATCATCTCACATTGAACAAGAGTCTGCATGTAAGGAGATCGTTGGTAGGCCATTGACAGTCATGTTACTCTTAACATTTTTGTTCAATCACAATCCAATTAAGAGATGGCATGATACACTCTTAAGATTTTTGTTCAAAATATTCGACAGTCATAATGTTAGGTACATCAGTGAATGGGCTGATAGGTACATATATGACAATGACAGTGAAAGAATGAGTTAGTTAATTGATAGTTTCAATTAGTAGTTAAATGTTTGAATAATATGTTATTATATTATGTCAATCAAGAAGAGTTAGGACCTTTGCACATTGGAAGCTATATATATATCCTTTAACTTCTGTGACCATACTGAATGAAGTGAATGAGTTACCTATTGAAGTAAGTGACTATTAAATTGGTATTGAAGTTGATGGTAGACAACTTGCTGATGAGAAAACTAACTAGAAAGTGGCCACGGAGATATCAACTGCCAGGTGCCTCGGGATGTTGTTGAAGTGCTTACTGACTTGGTTGAATTAGTGCTTACTAATATATAATTCAATACTTCTACCAATGTCAGTGTTAAATGTTGATGCAATTTTCTAGAAAAGTAGAGGAAGCCCCAGAAATGTTGTATCATGATCATTCCAGAAGTAGAGGAAATGCAATGTTTACTCTAGAAAAAATTTAGGCATACATTAGCTTATATTATTAAGCCTGCAAACAACACGCAATCAGTGTTTTGAATCAAAGCGATGCTAAGTAGCTAGTTTTCTATTACTTCGCACTAATGTTCTGTTTATCTATCTCAGTCACCATTTTTCTAAAAACCACAAGTGAGATTTAATGGCATCTTAAAGCATGGTTATGTGTGAAAAATATGGAAAAGAATGATATCTAATAGCCAACCTGCGGATGACTCATTACACATTTGAGCTCCTCTGTTGTCACACCCTTCAAACCCAAGAGGCAGTGATTAATTAGCAAATGAACCTCCCCAACAATGTGTAACTGGTGGTGGAGAAATAAGTCATAATTACGGTGGATGCTTCCACCAACAGAACTTTCGATTGGTAGAACAGCTTTATCCACTAACCATGATTCAACAGACTGCAAAAGTGAATATAAGACATATCATCACATTCATAGAATATATTAGTTAAGGCATCAAATGGAGAGAGATGTTACGAAACAAGTAATGGAACCTTGAATGTTGTCTCAAAGTCAACACATGGAACTGTCATACATTTTGGATATGCTTTCAAAGCTGCATCCTCAGAATATGCTCCTGGAAAGCCCTGTGTATAAAGTATTTCACTGGTTAGAAGTGGCATTAATGACGCTATGAATACTTTTTTATCTGAAAAAAAAAATATCAAGCATCATACCTTATAAGCAACGCGCATGTTTGACCCATCTCTTGAAGAAAAATCATTAGCACTTAATTGCTCTGCAATTAAGACAGTTGCAAAGTCATGCCAAAAGGAAGAAGAAAAAGGAAATGAGATTGAATCACTTCTCTGTAGCAAAAAATAGAGGAGTTCGTACAGTTAAAACTGAAAGAGTTCATGGAAATTATTGGTTTGAGAAATGGAAAATATGGTCGATTCATAAAAATTTGTAAAACATGTGGATTAATTCGAAAAAGAGTGAAATGTAATTTGTTATCCAAGATACAAAGAAAGAGATATATCAGATCTGATTTTGAGTATTTACATACTGGTACAGTAAAAGTATGTATCTCTTCAAGTGGTATAGGTGATGCGAATATTTTGTTATGACTCTTGTAAAATATGTTGGTTTCTTCTATATATAGAAGAGGATGCAGATTCTTTTTATGTATTTAGCTAGAATTATCCGTATTGAGTAAGTTAAAAAATTTAATTTAAATTGATTTGTTTTAACCTATTTATCTTGTAACTCAAATAGACTTATATCGGGAACTTTATTTATAAAAGTAATAATCATATTTTAAAATCTAAAAATAGAATTATTTTATCAAAATATATACCTATATTATACTTTATATGATAAAGTAAATATATTATTTTATAATTTATATTTTTTTTTCAAAGCAAGATGATATTAAACTTAAAATTCATAACATATAATGTTAGAAATACGAATTAAATCAGTCAGTTATATTTTTACTATTCATGTATTAGTATTTTTTATTTTTATTTTTATAATTGTTGCGTTAAAAACAAATAGTTCACTGGTTACGTATATTTGAATAGTTTAAAAATAAAAAATTGAGACATGTTTAAGTAAAACTCACTTGGAAGCAGGTTAACATCCCTGTGAAACCCCTCCAACACACTTGGCTGAACCTTGATCCTGTCAGCATCCCCAGAAGACTCAACACCAGTGACAACAGGCTTCTCATCTTCAATTGGAGTCAAAGCTTTGGGAGCCGAAACACGCAAACAACAACATTCCCATTTGCAGCATTTCTGAGGTCCTTGTTCTAAAGTCACACTCAGCCTAGAACTAGCAGCCTGAAAGGTTGCAAAGCCCAATTGAGGAGCTTTGACACAACCCCAGATGCAACAATCCTTGAGAGCCATCAAGATCTCAAAAGAGCGATGTCTGAAGGAAGACACAGAAGTAGTCAACACTGATCAAATTGAAGTTATTGTGGTTGGTGAAGCACTTCTTGTAGGCTTATTATGATGACAGGGTTAGAGCATGCAATACACTTTGATATGATATCAGTTATGTACTGAATTCTGCCTTCAAATGATAACGAGTGTTGGAATTTGACAATGAGAGAGATCAACCACGACTTGACCCTGTTGCCAGAAAGACACAGGTACGCAACAAGAAAATTGTTCTTGTAAAGATTACTCGGTTCCTCCCTCACTTCTATATTTTTTGTTCTTCACATTTATTGTCTGCAAGAAATAATCCTGGTTGAGACATTTCTAATCATTAAACAATTACCATAAATACTTCTATATTCATTATTTGTGATTATTTTAGAAATTGCTTTTAATGATTCGCATTGACAATATTATAAAATTATATCTTTTTCTATTACCAAAACATAATCTTAAATACTTTCCATATTTTAATAATTTCTATTGAAGTTCATCAAATGAAATATTAAACTATAATAAAAAAAATAGATATCATTAATGGAAGTAACTATTGTAAGAGAACCTGAAATGCAAAAAAGTATGGAAGATTGACACAAATGAGAAACAACTCTGTGGGATTTCCAACAAAAAATATTTACTTCAAAAATTAATTGTGATATATATAGTAAATATTTTTAAATCATAAACCAATTAAAAATTATTTGAAATATAAATTTTAAAATAATAATAATAATAATTTTATCATAAATAATTCGTTATTTTATTGTTATTTTATATAAATATAGAACTATACACTCTTCTCTTTTATTCATACTCTATGAACACATCATATGATTCATTGATAAGGGCGTCATTATTTTTAACTAATAACAATTGTTTTATTATATTCTCAATTATACATTTTATTATCGAATGAAATTAATAAGTACATTTCTCTTAAAATAAAAAACAACTCATCATTAAATAAAAACACACAAAAATATTATGCTACATGTGTATGTAATTAAATTCGTACTTATAATCACTCAAGTCAAAATTAAATGTACAACGCTTTATTTTAATGTGTAAAAATGTCTTACATACAATGAACTACTTGAAAAATTACACGCCGTGCCCATGTAGGAAGATTGACCATGGTGTAATTAAAGAAAAATATTAAATACTCATAAATAATTAACTTTACGATCATCACAATTATTTAGTTATAAAATATTGAAAAATGTATGAATTTAATAGTTTCGACATTAGTTAAGAATATTTTGTGAGCTATATTTTATATAAATTGGAGATTTTGACCTCACTCGTTCAGTAATAAATTTGATTCTCATTTACTAAGAACTTATATTTGTAAATACTATTTAAAATCTATATTTATTAAATGGTGGATTCTACCCCATTCACATAATTAATCAAATTCAACTCAATCTAATTATATATGTTTTTTTAAATGAGTTGAATTATTGAACAAAATTAAGTTTTATTAAATTTAAATCCGATAGATCCCACCCAATTATATATAATAAGTATATTATTTTAATAGATATAGAAAGAGAGAAATTATTTTAGAACATTCATATTTATAAATATTTCACACTACACGAATATGAGTAAATATTTTAATATTTACATTTTTTTTTAAATTGTATTACTTATACAATAAACTTGTAGTATTTATTTTGTTAAAGAATTTGTAATTGTTATTTTGATATCTTATTATTTTAACAATTTTTTTTATATCTATATCATCAGTACAACAACTACCTTATAAATATTATTCATATATGTCTAAAATAAAAAAAGTCATGAGACCATCTTGCATCTTCTCTGCAGGAACAACTTCCGGGAACTTAGCTGTAAAAGGTTTCAAATTTTGATGTTTTGTCTCATCTATGTATAGTTGATAAAATCTTCTGCTGTAGCACCTCCTTATGAGGTGAAAAGTGTTTTGGATGTGGTGGTGGGGAAAAAGGCTTGCAAAGGGTTATCTCCTCTTGTACGTGATTCAAGATGAATCTGATATGTCTGTTTTATCCACGGGATAAGAACCCAGAACTCGCATAAATCTTGTATATTCCTGAAATGGGAGAGAAAGAACCAACTATTTGATTTAACATTTGACTACTACAATGAAAAATCCTATACAATATGAAACAGTGTACAACATTGGATTTTATAATACAATATTATGGTAGAATGCAAACTACTCTGAGCAGAAAGAAGTTAGAGAAAACAGTGAAGCATATGTAGGAGCTAAATGAGTACTCAACCAGAATAAATAATATGATATGATGGACCAACCTTCAAACTTTCTAAAGCATGTTGTGCACTTGGATTTCCCATAGAAGCTTCAAAATCAATGTAGAAAAGGTTGTCAAAGTACCTGCTACCAAGTCACAGTTTCACAACGCAGTTGCAAATACAATGAATAACCACATCTATAGTTTACACACTGATGATATTGCAAATCCAAAATGAAAACAAAAAATCATTACTCACTTGGCACTTCCATAATTTGAATCATCAACCAACCTTAATGGACACTGGTTCAGTGGGCGACTCTCTATCTGAAATCGCAACAAGGAAATGAGACCAAAGAAGCACCAGTTTCAAAGGAAACGCTATTGAAATTTTAAAAACTAATTCTCACAAAAGTCGCAGATACATTTTAAAAGACTATACAATAATTTATAATTGTTTTAAAAATTTTATGATCAAATTTAATAATTTAGATTTTAATTAATTTATATAATACAATTTTAAAAGATATTTAAAATTATAATAAACATAAAAATAAATATAACTTACAAGATAATTTGGATTAAAAATATAATTTATTTTCTTAATTATCACAATTAAATACTTTGTCTTCCTTATTCTACAATAATCTTGATTTAATAGACATGATTTTTTATATTAATTAAATTTTTTAATTAAATACCATAAATATTTTTTTATACAAAAAATAAACTCTTCTAAAATCCTAATAAAAAACATTCATCATATTTTCAAATTTCAATAGGTACAATTATTATTTTAGCAAACCTTTGACAAATTAATGTTCCTCAGGGCAAACACTCCCAGGGCTTTCAATAGTACATCAGGACCTTCTTGCAAACTGAAAACAATGCTGGTCTGCGGTAGAAGTCATGAAATATTCATGAGCAAATTCATAAGAATTATATATAAATAGATATATATTTTTTTCTTACCTTATATGGACCGTTAGTTCCTGGAAGTATAGGGTCCCTTGCAAGCATCAAAAACCGAGTAATATTGACATCTTCATCCTATAGAAAGATGAAAATGAATCGGCTTAACTTTAATCTTGAGATACCAATAACAGTCATGTTTTCAATTTTGCTCTTGTTACACAATCATGTCTTCTGATAGAAGCTAAAAATGTTGCAAAAGAATGACCACTGAGCAGTAAGAAGTTTAATCATTCTTTGGATATCCATGCACGTATCTGCATGTGTTAGATTCTCGGGCATCTTTATTACTGTACTTTCTTTTTATATTATAATCAGAAACCTGAATGCAGATATGCTTAAAACTCAAGTAATAACTGTCATATATCCAAAACTGTAAGATAACCGGCAGTGGTGAGATCACATTTGCAATGGAGCATCAACATGACTGTAAACACCATTCTATTCTGTTTTATTTGTCAATAAAAGAAATTTTTAAACTTAAATATTATAAATGAGGAAATAATCATGTCTCATTTTTAAAAAATGGCATAATTAAAATTGAGAAATTAATGAGCATCATGCATCTTAGCTAAGAAAGGAAAAGGAAGATGTTTAGCAATCCATAAGTGCCAGCTCCAATGAACTCAGATTGTTTATATGAACACATGTGGTTACAAGAGAAAACCATACAGTGAAAGTAAATGTTGTAGCAGTTATTGAGTCTTCCAAAAACATGTGACTGAAGTCTTACCTGAATTCCTTCAGCTAGAATGTGAAGGCCATATAATTTTGCTGCCCTTGAACTTGCAATAGCTCCAATTTCCCTTCTTCCGTCTAAGGCCACAGCCTGTTCACAATGTACCAATCATTATTAGGAGATGCAATTCTACGACCTAACTGTTTCAGTGAAGAGAAAATATGTAAAATATATACCTTAGCAGCTGCAGCAGTATCATCTACACCAATGTTGCTAACACCTAAATGCCTCAGCATCATCTCACATTGAACCAGTGCCTGCATGTGAGGAGATCATTTTCAAAATTTAAAAGTTCTACATCGTTCTTTGTCATCACCTTGTTGGTGTGAACCGGTGGTGATGACTCCACAACAAAAAATAACAAACAGAAAATTATTAGTGGTAATGGTTTTACAAAAAACAACCAATCAAAATTGTGTGTAATAGGCTGTACGGTTGAATCTCTTTTGAAATACCTCATGGGATTTTACACTTGTATCAAGCATATATCAATGGTAATTTATAAAATAATATTTTTTTTGTAATTTTTGTCTAATATATATATACACTAAGAAAGAAATAAAATGATAATTTGAATGTAAAATATATATCTTATTATTGCTCCACTGTTTTTTCTTTCTTTCTTTTTTTTCCATACAAATTGGTTTTATATATACACTATCTTTTTTTTTTAAGGGTTTCAGTCCTTCGTATGGCTATTGTTACAGCCATATCTCATATAGTGTTTGGTAGTCATATATAAACTTTTCATGATGAAAACAAAAAATCATTTAATAAAAAATATTTAATAAAGAAAACACACTTTCGATAGATTCAAACATATTTGCATCTTTAAAAAAAAAAATTAAGACCTTCATAAGCAAATACAATTTATATTTACATTTTTTTCCCAATGAATAGACACATATTTTTATTAAAAAAAAAAAACTCATTTAGAAAATCTCTCGCAGACATTCTGTTTAGATAAGCTAACATTTCTATTGAAAATATTAAACTGTGATAGGTGCAGGTTATTGAGGAAATAATATCATGTAGTGAGGGAATGACTTAATTAATTGTTATTAGATTCAATTATTTTGTTGTAATTAGAGAGTTGAATAATAAGAAACAAGGCATATATATTGCCCATAAATAGGATGAAGGGTTGAGTTAAGAGGTATTTTATTAATTAAGAAGAGTTATTGCATATAAATAGGACGAAGGGTTGAGAAAGGTGTATTTTATTAATTGATGAGAGTTAGGGCTTTGAAAAGTAGGAGATTCAAACCCTGAAAAGCTACCATACTATAATTAATTAAAGGTATTTTATTTCATGTTATCATTAATATGATACTAGTTTTTATCCATTAATTAATTAGTATTAAATTGCTCAAATATATATAAACTATTTTTAACTTCAAATTGTAAATAACAGAGAATTTTTAAACATATGAAAACATATCAAGAGACTGATTGAAGAAAGTAAGTGAATATATTCAAGAATCTTCACCCTAAGATATAATCCAAAAAGTTGTATCAATGTGAGGTTTTGGTTAAGCATGTTGGTGTGTGAAAAAAAAGGTGAATAAAAATGATAATAGTGACCAACCTGAGGATGACTGAGTACATATTTTAGCTCTTCTTTTGTCACACCAGTCAATCCCAAGAGGCAGTGATTAATTAGCAATTGCACCTCCCCAATAATGTGTAGCTTGTGTTGAATAAGTAAATCATAATTACCGTGGATGCTTCCAGCGACAGAACTTTCGATGGGTAGAACAGCTTTATCCACTAATCCAGATTCAACAGCCTGCAGAAAAAATATATAAATAAAATATATCATCTCCTAATCTGTAGATAAGGTATCATAGATGTTAAAAAACAAGTAATAGAACCTCGAATGAAGTCTCAAAATCATCACATGGCACTGTCTCACATTTTGGATATGCTTTCAAAGCTGCATCCTCAGTATATGCTCCTGGAAGACCCTTCATACCAAGTAAATTCACTGGTTAGAAGTGGCATTGATGATGCTATGAATCTTTAATTTGAAAGAAACTATCAAGCATCATACCTTATAAGCAACGCGCAACTTTGTTCCATCATCACTTGAAGAAGAAAAATCATTAGCTGTTAATGGCTCTGCAATTAAAGAAGTTGCATAGTCATGCCAAAAGCAAGAAGAAAAATGATATGAGATTAAATCACTTCTCTCTAACAAAACAAAGGTATGCATCCATTATAATACAAACTAATTTTTTTTTTCTATACTGTATTATATTCAAGAATCTTTTAATCTATCAATAATTATTGTAATTCCATTATAAATGAAGATTCTAAATATCACGATGATCCATAAAGATATATTCAACTATTAAAAGAAATATTGTTTTTTTGTTGGATCCTCGCAAACGTTTGTGTGTGCGTTTCAGCATGGATCCATAGTTTGCAGTGTATTTTACGAAGGAGAATATAAATCTGTATAATATAGATTTCTTTTTACAACAACCAATACTAAACTTAATACTCTCAATAAATCATTACAAGTAACATACAGGTATAATACATTCATAGTTATCAAAAATTTCTAGAAGCAGTTCATCTAAAAAAGAGGAAAATCGTTCATGTGATTAATACATCTCGCTTTTCTAGTTTACGGTATCTACATCCTTCAACTACAAATTATAAAAACAAAAGGCATGTATTGAAAAACCGGGCCCCGAAAGGCCTATTTAAGATATAACTGTTTAATAAAACTAAGCAAAGCGCATATGATTATGTTGAGATATCAGATATGCAAGATTGCTTTACTTATAAAGATGTCACGTAGCAAAAAACAACCAAATCCATAGAAATGTGCTAAATGTGAGACATTTTTAAGTGTTTCTCACTTGGAAGCAGGTTAACATCCCTCTGAAACCTATCATCTAACTCGGTTATCTGAACCTGGACCTTGTCATCATATACGAAAGATGATTCAACCCCATTCACAACAGGGTTCTCATCTCGAACTGGAGTCAAAGGTCTTGGACCCCAAACACTCGAGCAACATTTCCACTTGCTGCATTTCTCAAGATCATGTTTAAAATTCACAATCTGTCCACAACTTCCAGGCTGAAAGGTTGCAAAGCCCGATTGAGAAGCTTTGGCACAGCCCCAGATGGAACAATTATTGAGAGCCATCAAGATCTAATGATTAAGTCTGAAGCAAGTTGCAGAAGAAGTCCACCCCGCTCAAATTGAAGTTTTTTTGTGGTTACAATAATATGATGGTGGGGTTAGCATTTTACCTATTAATATATATATATATATATATATATATATATATATAGATTTTGTATATGATATCAGTTATGAACTGATCTGTGCATATTGAATTAAATGAAGTTTTGGCAATTTATAGAAAGACATGGTAGATAACCAGAATAATATTTTGATATTGCAATGTAACTGACAGGGTTTCTCAATCCTCTCTCGTTACTTAATGCGTTGTCTTTTTTAAAGCAAAAACTAATGAGAGAAACATTAAATATAGATGTTTTTTAACAAAAATTTCAACCTTAATTCCTCAAATAGTAAGAAATAAATTATTTCTTCTAGATTCAATTTTCAGCTACTCCCCTCTTTCTATATAATATTAATAGTATTTCTATAATTAATTTTCTTAAATTATATTAATATCATAAAAAGCTTTTTATATTTTCATTTAATGATAAATTATTTATATACTATTAATTTTTGTTATGACTATTTTAAAACACTATTAAATGATTTTTATGTCACTTGTCACAAAGCATAAGAAAAATATTGACCAAAAGAACACATTCTTTGAATATATTTTTTTAATAAATTGCAAGTAACTTTTATTAAATTAATGCTTGCCAGTGACTTAATAAAAGAGGCAAGAAAAGGCGAAAAGGTTTGATTATTAATACGTATACTATACATAGAATCCAAATTGTGTTATTTTGATCCCATTCAAAGAAAATAAAATAAAATAAAAATATATTTTTAAATTTAAATTATATTAATAAACATAATTATAATATTTTTTAAATACATATTTTAAATTATAAATACATATTTTTTAAATTTAAATTATATTAATAAACACAATTTAAATAAAAATACATATTTTAATAAAAATAGCATTCTTTTCATTTTTTAAATATAATAATTATTTTATAAAAATCAAACTATAAACCTATAACTTAATCTAAATCATTTGAGTTATACGCTAAATAGGTTGGATAAAAAATAATTTAATTTAGATATAATCATTTTAACTTAACCTAATTTATTTTGTAAGTTTTCTTATTTATCCATCAATTTAAGTCTATTTTAATAATTTAAAAAAAAAACAAATTATATATATATTATAACTCACCCCTCTTTATGCTAAAACTCATTTCATTTACACCACCTAGAAGTCGCTATTCTCACCCCCTCTATTTACACAACTATCCCCTCTGTCATCTAAAACCAACTCACGTATAACACACTTAATTAAATTATATCTTCAAATTTAATTATCAATTTTAAATTATTTCAGACAAAAAAAATTCGTTACAATTGTTAGAATTTAAGTTCGACTTGAAGTTTTATATTAAATACAAATGTAAAGTTGAATACTAAATAAGTGAATTTTTTTTTGCAAATTTAATGTCTTACAAATGTAATATGATATTATTTTATATAATTGGTTCTGTGTTAATGTAAAAATCTTATTGTATTAACATCTATAGGAAATATTCAATAATAAATATGTTTTATAATGTAAATAGATTAAAACTATCCAAAATCTATTGTAAGTTAATAAATTTATAATTTATGAGTTTTAAAATATATTGATATAAATTTCTTTTTAACTAAATTATTACTTACCATCATTCAAGTCAAATTTAAAAAATATAATAGTTTATTTCTTTATAAGTAAAAATGTATTACACATAATAAATAAATTAAAAATAGGATTATGTTTGTATTTCACTTCATTAAGTTATTGAGGTGAAAGGTTTTTAAATACTAAAATTGCTGAATAACTTAAAAATAAAAAAATTGTCTAAAGAAGGTTCGTAACTTAGAAGAAGTATGTTAAACATAATTTAAAAGGTTATAGTAAAAAAAAAAAAACTGTTAACAATGTGTTTTAGTTAATTGTGGGTGACTCTTGTAAAATTGAATTATAGAAATTTATGATGATGAACACAATTAATCATTCTTTTTCTGCAAAAGTTAAGCCATGAATGAAATACCTACATCAGAGGTAGTTGAAAGTAAAAAACTGATTGAGAAAAAGAAAAATGGCGAAAAGAAGTTTCCCATAGATCTCCTAAAAAGCAGGGATGCTATGGAAGTTGGAAATACCACCCTACAACCTTTCTTTGATTTGATCTTGTTATGGTGTCCTTCAATCCTAGGGTTTTTGTAATAGCATACCCCCTCCCTACAAAAAATTATAAAAGCATTCAAACAAGTTTCAATAGAAAGTCATGTAGGTAGTACATACAAGTAAAGCTAAGAATATAGGACTTTGATTCCTTTGCTTTTTGTCTCTCTTCCTCTCTCCTCGTTGCACATAGGTTCAATATTTTAAAAAAGATTATTTTTTTCATTTATAAAAATAAAAAGCTGATAAAGCTGAATCCATATAATCAGAACAGTTTTTACAGTGGCACATGAAAGATGCACTTTACTTTGGATGCATATCATACGTCCCTTGGCTTCCTCACTCGGCCATCATAATAGCACATGAATTATGCATGATCATCACATTTGAGTTCCAGGCTAAAGATGTACTACTAGATAGCTTAAGAAGAATTTGATTTTAGATTTATTTAAATTAAAACGATGATTTTGTTAGATGAGACAAAATTTACTTGTAATAATATAAATGTCTCAAAGGAAATTGGTTTTCTAATTATGATAAAAATATCCTTTGAAAAGAAATAATGAAGATACTCTGCAGAAGAATGAGATTAGGTAAAAGCAAAAGGGGCTTAATGTTGAGTCAGAATTGAGTGAATGATTGGGTCCCCTTAAGGCTTTTACACAGTAATTTTGAAATGGAGGCAGCTTTTAACTGGTCAGTGATTGGTCATAGCTGAAGTGAATAGTTGAATTTTATTTGTGACATGAGTTCAAATTACAGAACCGTGACTTAACAAAGAGAATTTTAGTCACTATTACCACCAACTTTTATTGTTAAACGAAGAAAATATGAATGGAAGAGGGTGAAAATGGCGTCTGTGTTGGTAAAATGGGAACATGCGTATCAACAAGTCCCAATCTCCCCCGACCCAACAGTATGGTTCATATCAACTAATGCACCCTTTGCTATCTGCTTTCTTCCTTTCAATTTCAACTTTAGACCAAACCAACTCTCAAGTAATCATCATTCAACTTACTATACAATCAAACTCAAAACATCTATGTTCTGTGTCTTGTGTCTGTTCTATTTTATGAATACACTTTCTTTTTCTTTTTTCCTTTACCTTGTTTTTAAACTAATGAATTGTTTTTTTTATTGACTTTTGTTTAATTTTGATAAGAATTCGTTAGATGCATGATATAGTGGTAAATAACCATGTCTGCATATTCAATCTCAAGTCACTTTATGTAAAAGATTATTTATTAAGGGAAAAACAGTCTTATGTTTTTAATTATTGAATCAAATTAAAGATTAGGGGAAGTCTCACCTTGTACTCAATAATTTTTTTATATATAATTTTATGGTTTTTCATGAATTTTAATTAGAATTAAGTATAATAAAACTGTAACTAACAATTTAGGTTATGGTGGTTTTGAGGCTTTATTTTCTGCATTTACATGGCATAAGGACATAATCTCATCAATTTTAATTTTAAAATTAAATATATTGTTAATTAATATCAATAAGATTTATTTTAAATATTATGTATACCATAATTTGGATTATTTTTAGTTTAATCCAAACTATTACAATTAAATTTTTAATGAAATTTATTTTGTAATGAGTTTCATCCCAAGTTATAAATGAATTTATTAAAAGAAATTGTTACATGAGAAGTTCATTAAAAACTTATGAAAATTAATTCACAGAGAAAGAATTTATCCAAAGTATGTTACTAAAATTCGATAGCTCAAACAATTGTTTCATTCTAGAAAAAAAATAATGGAGTAATAATTATCGTTTTGAAAAAAACATAAATTAAAAACAATAATTTAAAGAAGTTATATGATTTATTTAAAAATTAAATAATATATAAGTTAAATTTAATTTATGAAAAAAATTATTTGAAACTTGTTTCCGTTATTCGATCATATACAAACTTGATAAATAATGATGGATCTTGACCATTGATTTTGGAGGGATCAAATAATATATTATTAATAAATAATAAAAAAATATAAATTGAAGTAAGAAGATGAAAGAATAAAATTGTAAATATATACTTAAATATATTAAATTATCATCAAGTTTGATCTGAGACAAAATCATAAATTATATAAGAGTTATAAAACCTGATGATAGACTCGAGAGAATAAAATCGTAAATATACAAATAAATATACTAAATATTTATTAAATTTAGAGGACCATAAATTATATACGAGTTACAAAAGTTTGAGATCAAGTCCCTCTAAACTTCCAAGTACCTCCTCTTAACTAATTGAATTGCATCCACAGCAGGCACAAAATATATAGTAACGAAGTAATTAACAAAGAATAATATATATAATTTTTTTAATTTACATAAGTCTCGTATAGAATTAAAAATGCTAATCAATATTATACTAATATTATTAATTATTAGACAGCATCGTGCCTAGCAGATAGGACGAGCGCACGTAAAATTGTTTTGGGCAGGATAAAATCATTGCCTAGATAAAATTTTAATATTAAAAAAAGACAAACAAAATGTTCTAAAATGTTACTATCATCCAATATATCCATATATATATCCACATAAATTATATTAGTTTATTAATTAATCTTAAAATGTAAAGAGTTCATTAATTGTGATCTGTGTTTTAAAAAAATAATCAAACAAAATTTCAATTTTTTTTCTTTATTTTTTTCATTCATTTATTATTTATCAATTACACATATTTATATATTAAGTTCTTAAAAAAATCATAATATATTATCTTACTTGCGATGCAGTAACTCTCCACGTAGATACTTATAAACAAATGAACTAAAATTAAAAATCATTAATTTAATAAACATAACGTTGTAGTAAGATTACACTTTTACGTTTTAATAGAGGAGAGAAGGAGAATAACGAAGGCAGGGGCGAGAGTTAGAATTAGGAAAGAAAAGAGATTGCTCTCAAACTCTCTGGTTCTCAGAAAGTTAGTGTTTTTCTTTATCTGAGTTTGATAGCGATTTGCAAATAGAGATGGCGAAATCGAGCAAAGATCCGACGTCGTATCCGGCGATAAAGGCAGAGCAATACTTACACAGTCCCGTTCACTACGCGGTGGCGATTCGCGACCATGCTAAACTCAATAGAATAATTTCTTCACTTCCTCGAGTTCCCGACCCGGCCCGAGTCATTACCGAGTCTGACTCCCTCGCTCACGAGCGCCTTGCGGAAAAAATCTCCGCCATGCTGGACCGCCGCGACGTGCCGTTCCGCGAGACGCCCCTCCATCTCGCCGTACGCCTCAACGACGTCGCAGCCGCGCGCGCCCTCTCCTCCGCCGGCGCCGATATCTCCCTCCACAACGGCGCCGGCTGGAATCCGCTCCAGGAAGCGCTCTGCCGGCGTGCCTCCGACATCGCGCACCTCCTCGTTCGACAACACCACCGCGCCGCATGGGCGAAGTGGCGGCGACGCTTGCCGCGCCTTGTCGCCGCCCTCCGCCGCATGCGCGACTTCTACATGGAGATTTCGTTTCACTTCGAGAGCTCCGTGATCCCCTTCGTCGGGAAAATTGCCCCCTCCGATACGTACAAAATCTGGAAGCGCGATGGAAACCTCCGCGCAGACACCACCCTCGCCGGCTTCGATGGCCTCAAAATCCACCGCGCCGACCAAAGCTTCCTCTTCCTCGGTGACGGTGATGCCAAAAGCAACGTCCCAGCAGGTTCGCTCCTCGTGCTCAACCGCGACGATAAAAAAATCCTCGACGCTTTCGAGAATGCCGGAGCTCCGATGAGCGATTCTGACGCGGCAGGGTTCTGCTCGCAGAGCAGCGTCTACCGGCCGGGGATGGATGTAACCAAAGCAGAGTTAGTAGGGAGAACCAATTGGAGAAGACAAGAGAAGATGGAAAACGTGGGAGAGTGGAAAGCTAAGGTTTACGAAGTGCATAACGTGGTTTTCAGTTTCCGGTCACGAAAAGTTGCCACCGGTGAATCTGACGTGGCAGGAAGTGAGCAGGTTTTGCCGTTGGAGCTGGATGAAGACGAAGACGGTTTTCTCGTCGCCGAGAATCCGAGTTTTGGAATCACAGCGACTAATAGCAATGTTGATAAGAGAAGACATAGTAGTTTTGTTCGAGAAGAACGAGAGTGGGTTCCGGTAGGAAGAACAAGCGTGGATTTGCCTTCCATTTCGGTTGCACCGCCGAGGAGATCTTCTGCGGTGGCGCCACCTACGGCGGAGCCACCGACGAAGGAGAAGGAATATTTGAGAAGTTTGCGGCCGGCGGTGTGGTTGACGGAGCAGTTTCCCTTGAAGACGGAGGAGCTGTTGCCGTTGTTGGACATTCTGGCGAACAAGGTGAAGGCGGTGCGGCGGCTGCGGGAGCTGCTGACGACGAAGTTCCCGGCGTGGAGTTTTCCGGTGAAGGTATGTGTGGTTGTTGACGATTGACCGTTGTTTGTATTGTACTCTGTGTGTGTGAGTGTGTGGGGACCACATGAACCGAAAATGATTAATTTGATAATTGGTTTGATTTGATTGATGGGTGTGGAGTGTGGGTTTTGCGAAAGTTCGTGAATGATTTGATTTGTGATCGGACGGTAGTGATGGAAAGTGAAAAAGACTGTATTTTTGATGTTTTGGTGTATGTGGGGCAGGTGGCGATCCCGGTGGTCCCCACGGTGAGGGTGGTGGTCACGTTTACCAAGTTCGTGGAGCTGCAACCTGTGGAGCAGTTCTACACACCGTTCTCGAGTCCTTCGCATTTGCACAGTGCAGATGAAGATGATGACGACGGTGGTCAAAATGGGCAGAAACTAGTAAGACAGAGTTCATCATCTTCTGGGGGATCCACGTGGCTGAGACGAAGTACTAGTAGTAGCCAATCGTGGAGTAAGCATCAACAAAGATGTTCATCTGGGGCTCTGGATTCGGATCCTTTTGCTATTCCTGCTGGATATACGTGGACCAATGGTGGGGATGATTCGTCACGGAAAATGAAGAAGTCCAAGTCCGTGAGAAAATCAAAGTGAAAACGCACCACACAGGAATTATCATCATGCATTAATGGGAAGAGTTTTTTTAAGATGAGAGAATTCCATAAGAGATGTGAACGATTGTAGCAATGGGCCAAAGTTGATCCATTATTGTGTAAATATCCCCGTATTGTTTTTTATTAATCAACTGGGGGGCTTTGGGATAACCGTGTCATATAGAGATCCTCAACAAGTAGTTTTAAGAAGAACTGCATTACTGACTTCACAGTTTTGTTTTGCTTATCATTAGTTATACAGAAATTTGTTGTGTTTCATTTTTGGATTGGGTGCTGCTGGGGCAGAGAAAGAGATCAATTTTTCGTGCTTGTTTTTGGTTACGTTTGCATTGGTTCTTGCCAATGCAACCAATGGCAATTTTCATTTGCTGTCTCATGTTATGGTGAGTTTACAGCTAAAAGTGTATGATTCTTAGCAGATATGGATTTTTAAGTCAGCAAAGTAATAGGTATAAGCAGAAATATAAACAAGTTTGACGTGGCCGTCATGAGAAAATCCGTTCTCGATCTCTCTTTTTTATGAGCAAAATTCTAGGGGGGTGTTTGAGTGCAGTATAGGAAAAACTTTCGGGTTTACAAAATATATGCAACTCATGCTAAAGAGTCTAAACATACCATATTTTACAAAAATCATACAACTCTCTTCGAACAACTCACTTTTATTAATATAATAATCTATAGATTGATTTAAAAAAAATAAAAATAAAACAAAACTATTATTATAATATTAAATCAGGGTTGTTATCTATAGATTGATTTAAAAAAAATAAAAATAAAACAAAACTATTATTATAATATTAAATCAGGGTTGTTTACAAAAATTGTATGGATTTGAGTTTTCAAAGTATCATTTTCCTATTTTAAATGCCTAATTCTGTCTTTACTTCATTCAACTATTCTCTCGAGATTTGTTCTTATTGTCATTACTCATCACTATTTTTCAATATTTTTGGCAAATGCTTGTTCCACAAGTGATTGGTAATGGATGTGAAAGCTACTACTTGTAAGTTGTAACATCAACTTAAACGCACGTGTAGTGCCCTTGTGACGTGAAGCCAAAGTTATATAGGAAGAAGAATATGAATCTCCCATGAGTAAATTGAAAATATTGATTTTTCCCTCAACAACACCATCCTCGTTGGTTCGTTGATATTACCAATGCGACAAGAATATGTAAGATCCTTACATTAAGATTAAAGGGTCAACAATAAGCAGCAAAGATAGCGAGTAAAATGGTCAAAGACTCAAAGGCATATAAGACTTCACTTTGTCAAAAGTAGCCTTAATGGTGAGCACAATTTAGCGTGTAATGCGTTATTGTATAAATGGATAGATAGTGTTACATGAAAGACATTGCTCAAGTTTTGCACTAATGACCAAAACAATTTTCGTACATTTCTCCGTGGAAGCGCAATACATTGAAGCAGTACTGGAGAGAGCAGAAGAACTTGTATTTTATTCAGCAGCGAGAATGTTTGATGTTTGTATCGTAGTTGGGAGAATGACCAAAGATGGAAAGACACGACATTCGTTCGTAAATTGTAACCCTCTTTATTTTGACTGCATATAGCGCCAACCGTGTTGGTTTAGTGATTCACAAATGTTATGTGTGATGTGATGATATTCATTTGGATCAGGCTCCACTGACTTTTACTCTGTCTCCACATTCAACATTCAGCCTCCCTAGACATTTCCTGGAATCTTTATTCCTTTTACCCCACTCTTTGGACTAAGCTTTCCCTTTTCTTCTTAAAGTTTCTCATTGTAACCTTGAACCAGAGTTTTAATCCCAATTAACAAGCCTGGGCCTCACAATTTCACCAGTGTTTTTTTGCCTTCCTTTCATTTATGAAAACATTCAGTGAATTAGAAGCAATATCATCATTGGCCTAAATATACCACTCAATAGGAAGTCTTCTCAGTTTCCTGGAAAATGTAATAGTAAAATTCAAATTTAACAAAAGAGTAAATAAAAAGGCTGCCACTATCCGAAGTTGATGCTAGAAGAAGTTCAAAGTTGTTATCAGCGGATGCTAATTTTGCTGTACCCACAAAGTACAAAAGGGTTCTCTTTAATTTAATCACTGATTTTGATGCGTGTTCTTTTGGCTACAAAGGGTGGATGATAGATAACACAATGATTGAGTGATACAATAGTAAATTAAGTAGAAGAGACTGGAGCAAGGAATGCATGCATTGTGTAGAGGGATAAACAACTTACAATGCTGGCCAAAGTATGAGTACAATGTGACAAGGTGGAGAATTAAAAATTAATTAACAAAGAGGAATCACCAAGTTTGCTTAACCAGGCGGAAATATTCAAACTGGGGGAGTCGGCAACTGCTGCCAAGATATGTCCCGTAACATTTCTGTTTCAAGTTTTGAACTCTTAGACTTGGGAAATACCTGCACATCTATATAGTTTTATTAGTGCTTCAAATCTGTTTAGAATAACAAATTACGTGTAAAAAAGGTTCGTCTTGATTCTTGGATCTACCTATGATTCATGCGCACGTGTCCGACTGATGTTGGAAAAACATCATTTTTCAAGGCAAATACTTTCTTGTGTGTGCCTAGGAATATTTTGGAGATGCTGATTCATCAATGAAAACGAAGTTTCTTAAGCAGATATAGTAGAGAAAGTAATGATTAATAAATATAGTTTTACTTTGTTGAATCGATGACAAATACATAGGATAAGGAAAGATGGGGAGCGAAGCAGCAAGTTATGGGGTGGAGGTGGTGTTGGTGCGATGGAGGATGATGGCACTAGATTTCAAAAACAGAGCAGCAAGAAGAAGAATATATGGTGTGCAAAAGATTAAAAGCGGGGCCTCAATTTTTGTGACTCGCACAAGTGCAATAGCAGTTCTGTTTCCTTCCACTTATCACTATTATTTACTACTATTTTGTTTGTGTGAAGGAGGACAAAAATTCGATGGCAAACAAACCTTCAAATTTCTATTTGCATTTTAAAGAATTATTCAAAATAAACAAATTTATTTCGAAACTATAACACTTGTTTTTTTTTAAATTCATAAATAATTTGTGGTACAATAAAAAAATTCTATTTTCTTATTTATTAATTTATGTATAGGATGGTTTTTTTTTAATTATATATAATTTAAGTAATACAATAAAAATCTTTTTTTTTCTTTCGAATAAGATTCCATTCAATTCATAAATGAGATTTAATTATTGGTTTCATTTATAAAGATTTTGGATTTATTCAAAATAATCAACTGTTTCCAGTTTTTTTATACATAATATATGCTTGTTTTTTTATAAATATTTTCCATTTACATTTTTAAAAGAAAAAAAAACTCAGTGACTTAAGAAGTTATCCCAACAAACCCACTAGAATATTGGAGCCCAATGTCCTCTTGATAAGGTAGATCGGTTTCACAGAAAAATAACAAAATTAAATAGATTGTCTTTTCTTTAAATGTAAAATTACTCTGTTTAATCTTTGGAAATGAACAAACTTTATTTTCAGTCTTTACAAATTCATGTTGTTAATCTTTATCATTATTATTTTTAACATCTATTAGTCTGCCATACTGGAATGAAGAGACTAAGATATATTTAAGATGATATAAATAAATATTAGAAAAATATTTATAAGTATTATTTAAAAAGACCAACGGAATGCACAGTGGCAAAAGACAGAACATACATCTATTTTAGCTTCAGGCAGTTTTACGATTTTCCAAATTTAATTGCAGTTTGAGCTTTTCATGATTAGATATCTTATTCACTTTCTTCAACGCAGGAACGAATTGAAGTGTAATCAAACTAAGGCCAACAATATTTGTCCTAAATAAACCTGACCTATATAGAACCTGTTACGTTGTACTTTTATACCATTAATGTGGGGCTTTAACTTCTCCTGCCCAATAATTTCTTAGATCACCTCTAATTCATTCCAAATTGAACTTCCAGAATGTATTCGTAAATGAAAAAAAGATGACCAAGAAATTAATGAGGTGCTAGAAGAAATAACCTAACTTCAGATAACCCACTGACCTCGTTACAGGATAATAACTTCGTTCCAGTAATTTGTTTCTAAAATAGTTCGTATGATCTCACCATTGAATTGGTGAGAAGTGCGTGAGCAAACGTCACTTTCCTACGCAAATATTTGTATCAATAGTGCTCTTCTATAATTTTCGGCCAAAAATTATATCTATGTCACTGAAACCCAGCAATACAATTCAAATACGTGGTAACCAAATTCAAATTCATCCCTGAAGATTTGAAGTAGGAAAGTGGTAACATAAAGTAGATGTGACTGAAACCAAGTAACATTTATTTCTCTAAAAAAGCATGCATTGGTAATTAAGTGATAATCAAATCATAATGTAAAGATAACAAGTTTAATCAAAGGATAAAATGACAAGACTCAAAAGACGATGCACTGACAATTGGGTGCAGAGAAATAACATTTTGTGCGAGGTATTTACATATTTGTTAATATGCATTATGCCTAGTGTGATCCGAAGGTGTTCTCCCCACTGTAAGTCATGTAAAGAAAGCCATCTTGATCCTTATTTTCCTCATACATAGCAGACATCAGTGCAGCTGCAACAACAAGAATTTAGTACACAATCATTGCTAAAGGGTAAAAAGGACATTTGGCATGACTGGATACTTACATGTTGAAGGAAGAGTGTTATTGATGAAAGCAAAAATAGCCTTCTCTGCACTGAGCTTAATCCTTTTGCGGACGACATAAACAAACTGGCCAACAGTCAAATCAGCAGGGACAAGGTATCTACATCATCACAACAAGAAGTGAACCAACTGAGAATCCAGTACCGCACAGTATCAGATCAACCATACACATTGGTGGCGGTTAATATATATAATCCTTTATGGCTGGAATATTGAAAGAAAACCATGTCTGGTCCTCCAACTTTGAAACTTATATCTAGCGTATACGCTTCAATGCTCACTCAAAATAATAGCAAACAAGTATACTTCAATATCAAGATGAATAGTTCAAAATAGATTGTTGGATTAGTAAAAAACAAAGTCAATATTCATAGCCATTCTGCAAATGCATATGCAGAATGACGCATTCACAAATCAAACTGAACAGCGACTTGTCTATTTCTAACAAACCGCATTTTTATTCTGTTATTTGTTCCTCAAACTAAACCTTAATATGATCAAGCAATAGCGTCCAGGGCTGCAATGGAAGTGGCCAATCGGACCACTCCATTGTCACCAACAAAGTATGCTTTGGCCAACTATACTCAATTTAGTCAAATAGATTCCAACTAAGAATTGCATTGATGCATGCTGGACTCACTCTCTAATCTTCTACGAATACCATTTGATAATTAAGTTAGGGGTGGCATACAAAAACATCTTAGCAAACATGCTTCATAGCTTTAACAATACATAATAATTAAATCTTGATCACCATCAGTAGCAGTATTTTATATGCACACCCAAGCATCAATACCCCCACCCCAAATAAAAAACTTCAGGCAACAAAACAATATCACTAGGTCCGGATACTCATCAAAAGGGACAACATAGCAAAAGAACATAATTTACTTCTTCTTATCAATGTCAGGAATGTCAGTTCTTTCAGCTTTCTCCACAATCACCTGCACAGAATTGATATAGTTAAACAAAAGCACTTCATGTATATTAAAAAAAAAAAACAGAGTATCTACATTAAGTATAATCTTACAGGTATTCTATCAGGATATTTCTCTCGAATGCGTGAAGCTTCTGCCCGCCTCCTTTCTGACACGTAAAAACACCACACTGTTAGTAAAGTCGAATGAACAAGGGGGTTTCATTATTCAATTTTTAATTTTTACAACACAAAAGGCATGACCAATAATAAAATGTTTCGATTCCCATCAATTATAAGAAATTGGAGAAAAAGAAAAGTACCCAAAGGATGTTGAAGCTTGAAAGAGGTTTTGGCCATGAGGAAATCGGAAGAGTAATTGGTATCTGCAGATTTGAAACAGCACAACATTAAAAAATTGGACCACAAAGTGCAAAATGGAATTGAGGAAAAGAAAGGAAAAATCACAAACCTAAGGAACGGAAGAGGGTATGTCTCTATCTGGATGGGAATCAGATGAAACAGAAGATTAAAATTAGGGTTTGGTTTAGCGTTGTTGAGTAGCTTGTTTTGTTCTGTTTGAGTTCAACACGGAACGTCTACTTATACTTTCTGCATACGCCTCGAATAGTCTTTTTCACAAGTAAACTTTCGCTGGGGACCAAACAAAACAATGACACATTGACACGTAAGAGTTTTACATTATCTCTTTTTAGTTTCTTCTGTTTTTATTTTGTTTTTATAGTTATAATTCTTTTGGATTTTAGGTTAAGAGGAAATTAGCAAGGGACCCAGATGAAAACTATACGTAAATTAACCACATCAGAGTCTATTTCAAGGGATTCTTCAATAAATTTTATGGATTACAAGTCAAATAAAAAAATATTTACGATATTTGAATTAATTATAAGTTATATTATATATACTATTTTTTTAATATTGTTATCGAACTATTTATTAAATAAAAATATTTAATTATTTAATAAAATATAAATTAACAATCATATATTTCTTTATTTATAAGTTCATTAGTATATAATTTATTAAAATATCAATGTTTTGATATTAATAATATATAATATAATATTTTTTAATGTTAGTGTAATCAAAATGTATTATAAATTCAAAGATGATAACAAAAACGATTAAAAATAATATTTTTATATAATAACCTAGATATTATAGAATCTATAAAACTGTTTTTATTTTTTATAATTTTTTTATATTTCATCAACTATTTTTTTTTAAATTATAGACTTTAGTTTTTTTTTTAGCTAAAATTTATTCAATATTTTTATAACTATTTTACATGTTTCTATTAGGTAATATTGTTATTTTTTTCCACGAATGCTACATCACAAACAGTGAAATATTTTATCCAACAAAACGTTGTTGACATTGTTTATTTTTAATTCATAAAGTTATAGTTAAGATTATTATAATCAATATATGTAGAATTAAATCAATTCATTAAATAATTAAGTACTGTATAAATTTTGATTTAATATAAAAATAAAATTTACATGCAGTGTTTAGAGTTTTTTTAAGTTAAGGATAACATGTAAAAAATATATTATTATATATTTTATTAAATGGAAACTTTAATTCTAATAGAGATCAACCTTAATAACACCTATAATATTTCAACTTAGTTTCCTTCTTTGTAGAGTACCGTAATCAAGTTATTAAATTTAAAATATTTAGATTGATAACATGGATATATTTTGGTTAAAATAATAAATAAAACAAATTATATAATTATGATATATTTTGTTAAAATATATAACAAATTTTAATTAAGAAATTTACAAGAGCTATTTTTTTGTTTAAAATAACAATAATGATAAAATTAAGCTAACACAACTAAATGAAATTATGATATTTTGAGAGAAGTTACAGTGATAACAAATCTTTGAATAACAAATATTTCAAAGTGAGTAATTAATGACCAAGTTGTTGTTGAAAGTGAAACCTTAAAACCCAAAATTTTCATAACAGAAATAAGTGCAACTATAACTCAAATTCTGTGACTGTGATGTTACAGTAAGCGTGCCCTCTAATATATTTTGAAATTTAAATACTTTTATTCAGAAAATAGATATTTTGAAAAAAAAAAAGGACTATTTAATAAAATTAAGAGATGTAACTAACCATTGTTCTCCTTTTAGTTGACCTATCTTCAAGTTAGAAAAAGAAAAAAAACAAAACAAAACAAAAACAACCTCAATTGTTGACAAACAGAAATATTGGGAGGATCACAAAGGAGTTTCAACAGCATCCGAACCGGTTCAAATTCTCTGTCTAATATCTTAACAGTATTTGTGTATCTCTGTAATATTCCAAATATTCGAATACTAATTCATTCATAAGATATTCAGAAATTATCTTAAAATATCGACTAGTAAATAAAAAAAATATTTTATATAATTATAATATCATATTTTTATATAAACAGATTTACTATCTTAGTTATTTCTTTCATTCTTTTTTTATTCTCTTTCTCATTTAAATACTTGCTTAATAATACCTGCTATCGTCAAATTCTCCCAGCTCAATGTAATCTTAACAATCAAGCATATGGATTGTTTTACTAGAACATGGATGTTCACAATTTACAATGAGATTTGGCTAAAACAAAATTAATAAATGTTTTTTTTTATTAACTAGTACCATGTCCTCAAAGTTTTGATTTCTATATATGAGACTCTAAATTTATTTCACACATTATGAATAGTATAAAATTTTTAAGATATATAATGCTTATATGTTACTTATTGGATTTTACATTATCTTTTTAAGATACATCAGTGCTTATACATTAATTGTTAATCATACAATAGAAAATGACAGTATATTCAATAAAAAATATTAAATATTAAGTTATAAATATTTTTTATTTACAAAAGTAATTTCTCTGTAAAATTCAAATCACCCTTATATTTCTAACAATTTCTATGATTAAAAAATCTCCCTTAATTATTATGATTGGAAACAAAATTATATACTCAATAATAATCTTTTTTATATCGCCCATAAAACTCTCATAATTTTTTTTACACAAAATTCTATAATCTCAAACATGTTGTTCAACGAAAACATAAAAAAAAATAAAAAAAAATCCTGACATAGAAAAATGAGTCATCGGCCCGACCCGATACCAATTATGAATTTCAGGTAAGTTCATAAGATTATTTTCTTTTAAAAAAATGAATTTAAGATTTAAAATTGAATTATTTTATGCTCCTACACTGTTTCATGAACATTTTTCGTCCTTATAAATGTTTTTTTTATCTATAAAAGTTTAATTTTTCATCTCATTATTCAATTTCATAAAATTATGTAATTTTGATCTGACAATTATTATGAAAAATGCTGAGAATATCTACTATAAATTGTGTTAAATATGTTTCTAAAAATTTATATTAATATCCTATTTGCATGAATATTTAAAATTATAATTATTAATATTTTTTTCTATTAATAGTTACCTGTTTGGAGTGGTAAAAGATTTTTTTGATTTTGAAGAGTTGGACGATCATATTCTTTTGCAGTTAAATTTTTTTTTAATATTGGGATTGCCTATTCACATAACTATAACTACGATCGAATTTAAGTATAAACTTAATTTAATTCGTCCAATTTTTCAATAAAAATTTAAATTTCTTTTTTATAGCTATCATAATTAAGAAGTCTCTGTTTAAATGAATTTTTTATAAGAAGAAAAAATTTTCAATCAATTTCTTTATAAGTCAAAATTAATTTATATATTTAGAAATCAAATAACTAAACTTTTATAAATGAGTTTATGCATAAATTAAGTTAACTTGTTAATTTTTTTATTAGAAATCTATTGTAAAATTCGTCCAAAAAAGTTCAAAATCCTGGACTTATTAGTAAAATCTTTTGATAGGAGGTGAAATTAATCCTACATGAAAAAAAAGGTAATAAATTGTAGTTTTGCATAAAAACATTAACTTAATTTAATTGCTCCAACTTTTGAATCCAATATAGCTATTTTAAGTTTCATTGTTAACAAGTTTTGATGTTGGAGTCAATTATAAAACTAATCTTAAATATAAGACTTTGTGAAAACTGAACACATCTCCTTCATCCATTGAGTGTGGGATGATGATTGAATTACATTTTTAGGTTGACATAAAAACTTATAGTTAAAAATGGAGAAAACAAAAAGTACTATTCACCCACACGTTTATAAAGTAAAACCTTTTTGAGATTGAATTGTTAACCACATGCATAGATTTGTTTGTGATGAGTTTAAGATGAAAGATAATTGGATGATTTGGAGGAGATTGGTTTGTGAAAGATGAATAGAAAAAAAAAAGGGTTTTGGTGGCATGCATGGAAAAGAGAATTGTGTTGGGCGTACCAATCTTGCCCTCATTTATGGGCATTGCTCGCGGAGAGACTAGAGGCAACTCGTGACAGGTCAGGTCCCAGCCATGCATGGGAACTAATTAACACTATGTCTGCCCTTCTTCTACCACCAAAGGGAATTTATGTGAAACTTTGTAGGACCACAATTATATCAAATGAGTAATGTTTAACAACCCCTTCATCTAATTATTTTTTCCCCTCTATCCTTACTTCTATGTCTATATCTATGTAGGGTCCCCCCTCTTTATTCTTTTCTTTTTTCTTTCTCTAATCAAATCAACAAATCATTCACCCATTTATCCTATCCTATGTTCAAACATCTACTAATTTTCTCTCATAAAGTTGATTAAATCCTAAACTTAAAGGAATCAATTCTTACATCTACTAATAAGGAACTCAAACAAAAGGTAAATTCATTTGTCCTATGTATGCAAAAAGGCTTTTTTTTTTTTTTCACGATTATTGTTTTCTAAAACGTTCTACTTTTTTAACTCGTTAAGCTGTTTGGTTTAGAATGTATAATTGACCTCCCAATGCACGCGCACACACATTATGATGCATCAACTAAAATTGTTTTCGGAAGTTGATTATGGAAGAATTAACTTTCTATCAGATTTTACTCTTTTTCTGAAACAGTATTTGATGCTTTTAGAAACAGTAGATAAAAAGAACATTTAATTTTTAGAAAATTCACTTATCAAAACGGTAGAAAGAAAAACAAAAAAATGTATTACTAAGTCAATTTGCTCAAAATGGACTTGTTAATGCTTTCAAATAAAAGCGCATGCTAGAAAATATTTTTTATTTGAAGAAAGATATTTTAGAAACATAATAATTTTGTAAAAAAAGCAAAGAGAAGATCCCAATGAATATCTAGTCCAAATACCACTATACCTGGTTGAAATGGTTAGGTCTAGATCAAATCATAATAATTGCTTCCTGGTGTATGTATTCAAGAAACTAGACAGGGAACAACCATATTATGAAATCCTTTACAACATGTTAGTGACATTGAGAAAAAGAGGAATGATGTATCAACATCCTTATACTGTTTTTTTTTTCTTTGTATTTATCTAGTAACACATTGGCATTCAAGCACCATTTTCCTCAAACAACCCCGGAGGAATAATGATTTTGGGGAAATTTCATTTTAAAATGTGGAGAAAGAAGGGAGAAAATTACAAGATAGAATGAATTTGAAAAAGAAAAAAAAAAAAAAAAAAAAAACAAGGAAAGGAAATGCTGCGTGAATGATGTATATATACTTTCATGCGAGCTTCCTTTTTATGGATTTACGCCGAAAGACTGTGTCTTTTTTAACCAACTCCACTTACAGGTATCTCTGCCTTTGAATGTGGAAGAAAGTGGTGACCTGTTTGATAGATATTCATGAATGCAGGCTTTGCACATATAAAGTCTGTGACAAACCCAATTTTCTTCCAATTTAAGTTGGTTCAATGCAAAATCCCTAACACAACACAATCAAACCACTACTCTATGCACAGCACAACACAAGACACCAACCACACACTTTTTTTTTTTTTTTTTTTTTCTAAAAGGTATTTGAATTTGAAATGCATGTGGTTGGCAGCAGACCCAACTATCAATCCTGTGAGTTCATAAATATGAAAACCTTGAAGCTAAACTCAACATCTTGTCTCACTGCACCTTCTCTGCTTGCTTGCTTGCTTGTGATAAATATTACTAATTCAAAATATGCCTTTCTCCAATTGCTTCCATTTCCTCACAATTTAATGTGCCCTCTTCCCATTCGTTGTTGGGTTGTTGGCAAATTTAATGCCACTATATTTAAGGCTCTGCATTTGTGTCTCTGCCTAGGTCCCTCCTGTCTCATCCATTAAATTTTAAGAATCTCACAGGACACCACACTTACTCCTACGAGACAATATGCCTCCTTCTTCATCACTTTCTATTTTCTCTTCTTCATACCCCCCACTCACGTTAATCACTACTTCTTATGCCTTTTTCCTTCTTCTTTATATGTCTTCTTTCTGCTCATCGATGCATATGCATGTTGGAGTTAAGTTACCATGTGGGGGTGTAAGTTTTTCTTGTACCTTATACTACATGTTTCATTAACGAGTTTAAGGTTGTTTTGTTTCTTCAGAAAGTGCAGGAACTTGATGACTCTCTAAGATATTGGTGTCTCAAACATATAATTAAGAACCTGAGATATTGGTACGGTTCAATCAGAAGGCAGTGCTTTATGATTCTAAAGCTCTCTTTGTTTGATTGAGCCGTGCCAATATCACATGTTACTTTCATCATCGCTTCAAGCAATCGGCATGCAGCATATTCAAGGTTCTTTCACTAACTACTACTTTCTTTTTAGTATTGTTCTCTAGTTAAAATTGAATTTTCATCTTACTAACTCAGACCACAACTAACTGTTGGTATATTAAAGGTCAATACTAGGTGAAATTCTAATTTTAGTTAAAAAACAATACAAAAAACACTTAAAGAAGTGTGGCTATGTTTTATCCTTTGTGTGTATGCTGATAAGTGTTTTTAGTCCAAGAGGTAAACCATAAGTGAAAACCAGTAGTTGAGGTTTTTGTTTTGCAGATGTTTCGGGATCTTCTAATTTGGTGAAGGAAGCAACCGTGGTCGAAACATAGTCCATCTGATGGAATTTTTTTGAGCTTGTCTCAGAAGTATGATGATGAGTTTGTTGCAGTGGGATGAGAAAGAAATGAATTTGGTAAGGTAGCTGGAATTGGTTCTGGTTTTTTCTCTTTTCTTTTTTGGGTGGTAGGGACTTAATTAACGTGACCAAGATAAAATCTATCTTTCACGTTTAGTTTGCTTCTATTTAAAGCTTCATCTCTTTTTTGACAATCTAGAATTATAGTAGGTGTCTAGGTGACAAGATCCGAGCTTTCTCTTCCTTTTATTATTATTAAAGCACTTTCCAGATAATACATATTTTTGGAAATATTTCTCTATCAGAAGCTTCCTTAATTAAAATTATTGTAATTTGGCGGTCCAAAATATTTGATAAATGACTTTCTTTCTTACTATATTCAATATTCTAGCTTCACTTATGGAAAACACAAAATTTACATAAACAAATTTACCAATACATATTATTTTCTATTGAAATTCATGTGCTTGTTTTTTTCGAAATTTACTAGTTTGACTCATGGAAAGAAGAACAAGACTTGCACATTTAATGAGACCCGCGTATGTATTCATTTAATAATGGATGGTGCGTAAAAAATTAGTAAAGAGTGTGCAACATGAACTACCATTTCCTAACTTCAATATGTTAGGTACCATGTACAAAATGTTCTTCGTTTGTTTACTTAGTTTAATTAGTTATGTTTACAATCTTTTTATGATGATACTTTAAAATTCCTTTTTCTTTCATTAAAAAAGTTATGTGACACTAATACATATTTTTTATTTTCATAATAACTATTTTGCAAATACATTACCAGCAAATTATAATTAGTTTATAGAGCATAAACTTTGACATGTTGCTTAGAGTTGACAAAATAAGTCAACTCACCCACTCAATCCTAACTCATCTGAATCCAAACTAGAAGATCAATAGGTCCACTTAAAAACCAAAAAAGGCCTATTCAATAGGTCCACTCGAAAAATAACCCATTCAATTGTTATTTTAAATAGTTTTTTTTTTGTTAATTTGAACTTAAAAAAATAAGTTAAATTAGATCTTATAACATATTTGCATTAAATACAATATATCAAGTTTATGTTGAATTTGAAAAATATTACGACTTAAACCTTATATAATTTAATCTAAGGCTCTTCGTACTGAGACAAATATATATTTTTACATTACTTCCTATTTTTAAATTTAAAAATTATGTGATTCTGAACATTGGTTGTGCGTAAACACTCTTTTTTTTCAACGTAAATTTTGTGAACCAACCCATTGTAATTGCACAGTTTATTTGTTCTGTTTGTTTTTGTTAAAACATACCTAAAAAAAATATTTTTGGTAGAAAATTAAGGTAGTATAATACTATTTACCTGACATGGCCTGCATTCAACTATCTTTTTTTCATTATCATTCAAATTTTGACATGTCATGTTGAATATAAAATAAATTATATGCTGAAGAAATACTCACTTTCTGTCTAGAATGTGTAAATTTGTAACTATGGATAATTCATATTAATACTATAGTAAAAAATATATATATAACTATTAAAAGTAGAGTTTAATATAGTTATAGGTTATTCAATTATTATTGAGATTAAATGTATCTTGAAGATTTTTTATGTTTGTGTTCATTCACTGTGTAAGAGGAGATTATTAGCCTCAGCGTCCATCTTGAACTGTTTTTGTGATGATAAAAAGCACAAGTCTTGATATTCTTTGATAACCTCGCTTGATGTTTGTCATTATTAGGTCTAACTATGTAGGAAATGAGAACATGCCAGAGTAACAATCTGAAGAGCTAAACACGGAAAGATGGAGATTATGCAAGTTCTGGTTATTAAGGACTCATTGATTGAAGCCTAAATGAAGCAGTGTTACGATAAAAAACAGGACATGTAAATTCCTCGGAGATTCATGAAATCTATTCGAGAAATACTCGAATGTTCTCGAATGATGACTTAAAAAGAGTTTATTCAAGAAGTATTAAATTATGGAAGATACGCAATGATGAAGAGCAGAACCTTCAAGGTGCGTGATATGTTGTTGGCAAAATTTAGTCATATCATAAAATTTTCAAGCCACCAGAAAACCATGAAATTATCTCCAGAGCATTGTAAAAGGTTGCAACCTTCAAAATAGTACCAAAAAAGAACAAACTACTCTGAATACTAGAAGGTTATGTCACAAATTTGTGAATGTTTGAATTGTGTTGCATCTACATGCTAGTTACACACTTACATATCTCTCTAGCACCCAAGTTAGAGTAAACACACACAAAGGCTCTGCATGAAACGAAATAAATGTTTGAACACAAATATGCAGAAGTTTATCCTCTGCTTCATTGCTCTTCTTTTCTCCAAGCTGCTCTCTATTACAAGAACAACTGAAGTGCCTTAGCTGATGGATACAATGCAAAGAAACCAAGAGCTTTACGTACACCAGACTCATCAACACAAGTGCATAAAAAAGACTCACTAAAATACAGAATGTTTTAATTCAAAGGGGTCCTATGAAATTTTGTGAAGAGGGTCTTTTTCAACTGGAGAATGAGCATCTAGATCTAACTTGCCTTTGTTGAAAAGGAGTTGAGATAGTTGAAACCTAGGGTGGTCACCTTCCTGATTTTGAATATCCTAGAAGGCTACAACAATTAAGACAATGTAGGCTCAATCATGTTATGCTTATTTAAGTTTAACATGTAACTCAAATTGTGGGATTCAAGCATTTCCACATAAGAATCTCACACTCAAGAAAGAGCATATGCCACTTTGTTCAAATGTCTTGGCTTGTAGACAACGTCATAAGAATAGCTTTGGTGCTTAGAAAAGTAAATTAGTATGATTTTCAACTTCCTCTCAAACAAATATGTTGTCCTTCTCTCCACTTTTAAAAGTAATTGAAATCTAGTCCATTCGCGACCTATATTTATGAAATATTTCCATATACTTTTTTAGATTAAAACTTTCATGTAGTTTAAGGGAAATTATTACGATAACACAAATTAACATCTTCTTACTATGTACAATTAGTAAAATACAAATACCAACTTATTAAATAAGATGAAAAATATATATATATATATATAACATTTAAAATAAAAATGAAAGCTAATGATTAAATTATTATTTTCACCGACATTTTTTTCTACATCTACGTATATATTTTAGTTTCAATTCTGTGTCAAGAATATACAAGACACTATTACAATATTTTGTTATTTATTTTATTTAACATAATCTTATATAAATGAAATAAAAATGGTGCGAATTATTTCTATTACCTCTCGATGAATAAAAAATACGGTGAGTAATTAAAATATATTTCTAAAGAGGAAAAAAATAATCTTAGGATAAAGAAAAAAAACTAATATTAATGATTTTAAAATAATAATATTTTTATTTTAAAAATATGTATAAGTAATAAAAATATAATCAAATATAACTTTTAAATTTTTACGATAATATCAAACTAAAAAAAGGAAGAATTATATTTTTCCTTAACACTATAATTATATTTCTTATTTTATTAATTGAAAAGTAATTAAAATATGTTAACTAAGATGAATGATTTTTTTTCTTATATTTCTCCTTTTTCAAAGTCTAAAAAATGTACTAAAAATATATTAAAAAAAAATCATAACAGTATCATATATACTTAAACACAATTTTCATAAACGTATGCGTGTATATGAAGGGAAGAAGAGACAAAATAATCATGACTTTCCTTTTTATTTGAAATGTTAATTTTATTTTTATCTTATTAATCAAGTCGTCATTTTTTTTATTTGCTATGTGAATATAAACTGTTAAGTTTGTATGATGCAAGAATATCTATGAAAGCAGTTCTCTTCGGTTTAATAAAGTTTCCAATTATTTGTCAAATTAAATAATTTAATTAAATTAGTAAGAGGTTTGGTGATTATTATAAAAAATAATTTATTTTTGTTTGGTTATAATTATAAGAAGTGTTATATGTTTTTAAAGTTAACAGTGGAGGATTTCACACGTCATAATTACTTCACCAATTTTTTTACATTAATAAATATTTTTTTTGTTCCCATAAAAATTAGTATTTTCCAACGAGATGTATTCTTTTTAAAATGAATGTATTTTTTTATTAAAAGAGAAAAAAATTGGTTTCAATTTACCTTTCTAATTTTTTATAGAATCGACATTAGTTATAAATATTTTAAAATATGAAGATGTGAGCAAAGCCATTATAGTTTATAACCCCATAGATTTGTTAATTTTTGTTATGATATCATGTATTTATAAAAGATTATGGAATTTTCTCTATGAAAATACAATAAAATATTTTTCCCACTTTAAAAAAAAATTCCCGGATCAGGGTTAAAATTACTATTTTTGAAAGAAAAAAAAAAGTATGTCTCAAAATAATAACAAAAGTCAATTTTAAAGATAACTTCTCCACGCTAAATTATTTTTCGAAAGAAGCTGAAACAAACAATTAAACTTCTATTCAAACAATTACCTTTTTAAACAAATTAAACAGCATGCTTTCATGAACCAAAATATATCTAAACTTCCAGATATTATTTATACAGTACTTTTACCAATCTACAAATGTTCAGTCATACACCTCAGAAGTGAAAACTTTTTTTTTTCTCCCCTAATTCATAATTGGGCTTAGTTGCACCAATATTAAGAATAGGATAAGGTATTCTAAAAACAAGCTAGGAGTAACAGAAAATCCACCAATTTGGAAATTTAATTCAAACAAGTTTGACTATGTACACAATAATAAGGAGTAGTATATATAAGTTATCGAGATAAAATTTTAACACAATGTATTTTAATCAGAAAATGGTATAATGGAACTGTATTTAATAATTGGAGGATATCTCTATTTTTATCTTTTGCGGTTGTATTTTGTCTGTTTCAAAAAAAATAAAAAATTGAAGGATATCAATAACATTGATTAACAGATAATATAATTTGTTTTTTATCATATTGAAATGTAATTTAGACATGCATGACAAAAATAAGCCATGTTTGCTTGAAATCTAGAAACAGATAATTATAAATCCGGAATGGAACATCGAACAAGGAGAAGCAACAACTCTTGGATTTATAAGGTGCACCCATTAGCCTAAAACCAAAAACCTATTAGAATTCCACACAAATTTCAGAGGCTGCCACTGCTCACTTCCTTGTTCTTTGCTTTCCCTATAAATCCTTCTTTTTCCCAGAAAACTTAGAACAAAGAAACAAATACAAACAAGGCAGCTCTGTCTTCGTGTAGAGGGATTCCATTTCAAGTTTCTCTAGCAGAAGGGCACCCTATTCCGTACAGAAATAAACTAAATAATACTGAGAATGATCAAAACAAAAACGATTGCATGGAACTGAATCTAAGAATAATAGATGATTTGAATGCGGAAGGGCTACTAATGACACCAAAATTTGAAGCTTATATGATGATGACACATGGCATGGATGAAGGCTGTGGTGGCAACTTCACTGACCACTACTCTATGAAGCCAGTTTTGGTCAAAATAGAATTCCTCACCTTGCTAAGATCTCTCCCTTTGAGAGTCCTCCCAATCCCTTCACACACAGAGAAAGATGAAATCTGGCTCCTTTCAAGCTTCCTTGCAATCCATTCATGAGGAGGCACCATGTCAGCATCCTCATCCTCCTCATCGTCACCATCCTTGTTGCATGCATCATCAAAAGTTGATTCCTTCTTCCAACTCTTTCCATAAATTTTAGACCAGTCAGGGATATCGATAGGTTCTGAGGAACCTTTCACCAATGGAGCATCAGAAGAAGGTGGGCTATTGGAATTAGCCCTCGGAATCTTTCTCGGAGTAGCAGGTAAGCGCCATGCAGAAGAAGAACCACAAGATCCCTTGCATGATCTTGTGGTTTTTGGAGGAGAATCGTCTGTCTCATAGGATACACTCCACACATCTTCGTCAAAATCCATGTCCTCCATTGCTCCATCAACCCCAGAACTTTTGTCCGGAAAAACACCACGATCTGCCATTGTTGTTAGCTCTGCCACAGTGCCACCCCTAGATGGATGAGGTTTGCTTCTTACACAAAGGAGTGTAAGAAGTCTGAGAAATGAGCAGTGAAGCCAAAATTACCTTTTTCAGTATATATAGACATAGATAAGTGAGACTTCTCGACCTAATGGTGCTGTGGCTTCTAATGAGATAAAATGGACTTTTTGCTCGTCTTGGGAATAAAAAAGCAGAAAGGTGTAAGGGAATAACATCAGGAATCTCCCTTGCTTTTGTTTCAATTCCCTCCAAAAGGAACTAGAACTTTTCAAAAAATAAAAACTCATAAATGGTAAATGTGATTAACCCTTGTTAAATACCAACCGGTACAAACGAAGAACCCTTGAAAATCCGAGTCCAGACACATTACACAGAGTAGTACATTGTTAATATTATTATTATTTTAAGAGATGGGGTGGCAGAAAAAGCCAACAAAAGCAGCAAATCTATGTGTACACAATTATGTACACTTATAAGCGTGTATTATTGTTTGGTCCAGAAAAGAATATGATGATATATAGATATAATAAAAGGAAGGAAAAGAAAATGATGGGTCTTGGGGCTTTAATCTTAGTTGACAAATAATAACATCATTAATTACCTGGAAATAATAGAAGGAAGGTGATTAAATGAAAGAGGCCAAAAGGGCACAGATGAAGTGGGCGATGGGGAATTCCATCATAACAATTTCAATTGATAAAACTTTCTTTCTCTTTCTCTTTCCCTCTTTTGTTCTCATTTTCATTTCTTTTTCTAAAAGCTGCATCGACATCTTGATTTGGAGAGGTGGTAAGGGACTATTGGCGTGCCCGTACCTTGGCAATCCTCAACCTTATCCTCCACTCTGTAAGAAAGCTCCTTCATTCATTTACACTTACACATGCAGAACCTCCCTCCCTCCCTCTCTCTGTACAATTTTGGCCGAGTCAATGCCTTCTCGTCTAGGAGATGCCGCTCGCCAAATGAAATGAAAGACACTTCATTCGATGGCTGTTATTAGGATTTTTAGGATTTTTAGGAGAATGTGATTTTTGGATTTCTTCTAAACTTTGGACGTTTTACTGACTTATCCTCTCATTTTATAACCCTCTAAAACAATAAGAATAAAGTGAAAGTAAATACATATAATAACTAATCATTGATTAAGTCCTAATCTACTCTTTAACAATATTTTTTGCTTCAGACATTTAGACTAATAATAAAGTAATAGAGAGAAAAATATTTTATTTAACATTTAATATAGAAGTCAAATACAATTCAACTGCACTTGGATAGATATACATATGAACATAGTTTTTATCAATTAAACAATTCAAACTAATCAAATTTTCGCTTTATAAAAATTTTAAATTCAAACTAATTTCCTTTTTAAACCAATTTTAAAATAAAAAGTTAAAATCTCAAACAAAACAAGTAAAGTATAATTTAAATTTCATATTTTCATTTCTTGATTTAAAAAAACAAGTCCATCGATTCATGCAAAATTTCTATTTAAGTTTAAATGTTAAATTTATATTTTTAATTTCATTTTTTTTTACACATTTTTCATCTATCAATTAAAAAAATATAAAAAAATTGTACTGTTGCGTTCATGAAATGTGCAGATCTATTGTTCCTTGTTACGTAACTTCAATGCCCACATAAGACGAAGCGATTGACAACTTCTATGATAACTTGGTACTTGGTGGATTGATTTAAGTGTAATATTGAAAAGGAGATATGAGTATAAACATGTACCTAGTTCTTATAAAAATACATTAAAAATTTGATATTATAGTCCTACTGAATATTAGAATGTTAAAAATATTTTTGTTATTTATAAAAAAAATTATATTTATTTTGATTAGAGTTATAAAGAATAATACCCATTCTTTTATTTTAAAATAGATGTTTATATTTTTCATAATATTAATAAACATAATATATATTTAATAAAGATAATGTATACTCTTTTAACAATTTTTATTAAGTATTTACGTTTTTTATGGTAATAATAAATAACATTAACCTTTTTAGTTTTAATAAAATATTAACTTTCTTATTTTATTTATAATTTTATAATTTTTAAAAATTATATTTTAAAATTTTAATTTTAATAAATTTATTAAAAATTAAAAAAAAATGAATGTTTTTTTTACTTATATATATATATATATATATATTGATAATATGACATTTAATAGTGTAATACGCTAAATGGTATAAAAATTATAAGGAAACAATGTGTGAAATTTAAAAAATAGTTCACATTTTTTTTAATCAGTGAATAGTACAAGTATTTTTTTTTCAGGATAAAAAAAAATAAGAAAAGAGTTTATCTTAAGATCCTTCAATTACACATGTCAGTAAATTGGTCCCGGATAGACATCAGTAAGCTAATCATGTGTTTAATTTTTTTTGGTTTTTATAAAAAAAAAAATTTGTTATATAAAAATAATTTAAAACTCAATATCAAAACATTCTAAAATATTTTTTGAACGTTATAAAATGTTAACGTTAATATTACCGTTATATTTTTGAAACGTTATAATAACTTTTTTAATATATTTTATATCAAATAAAATGTAGTTTTTTTTTAATTCTCAATCTTTCAAGTCTCATCTTAAATTTTTATTATTATTTTATATTAACTATCTCTTTTATTTATTTTGATATTATGGGATCAAATTAAAATAAATATCTAATTTTATGTAAAAATTTTAATCTTTCATTAATTTAAATTTTTAAAATTTTCACTAAACCTAATTTATCAAATATCACTAATTTGAGTTGAATATTATTATTTTTATATAAAAAGTTAAAAAATAACAAATTGGAACAAGATAAACTTATCTTTTAATCATGATTAAATATTTTAAAATGATTATATTATAGGGGTAAATAAAAAAAATACAACAAATATGGTAGATATATATACAACATAATGACAAAATATTATTATTATTATTATTATTATTATTATTATTATTAGTGAAATGTTGATATATATATATATATATATATATATATATATATATATATATATAAAATGTGTTGTTTTATTGTTTAAAATTTGTCATTGTTAAGTTAGTCATTAATCATATTATTGGTTGAAAACTAGTCTTCTTCTTTTTCATTCATTTTAATTGACAAATATTAAAATTATAAACATTAAGTGTTCCTTAAAAATAAAATTGAGCTCAAAGAAAATATTATCCGAAAATTTCATTAATGATGACTAAACATAATATGCAGTTGGACATTGATAATGAACAAATACAAAGACGGAGATAAATTCATTGAAAGGAGTGGTGAGAAAGAAAAAGAACAATACAAACTACCAATTATGTAAAAGATGGATTGATTCATATTATACAAGCATTTATGTATTGTTGCTGTTTATTTATTAATCAATTGTTGGCAACCTTGATAAATATTTTTAACTTGTGAATAGACATCGTGTTTGATAAATATTTGAGATAAAGTAGATTTTAAAAAATAATAATATTAACATTCACTACCTAGGAAGAATCATGGTTTCCCCTGGTATAATAGGTAACATACATCGTATTCTCCCATGATATGTAAAGATCAATATTATCTAATATGACATGCGTTTTTTGAATTATAGTCTAAATAATAATATCAATGTTCCATTCGAATCTCATATGTTTAATGAGGTTTTATATACTGTGAACAAATCTGATGTGATATAGAATATTATTAACATATTATATTTATTTTGAATAAGCCAAATTGATTAAGACTATGTCAATATCTTAAGGAAAAAAAAATTAAATGTTTATTTTCACTTTATACTATTAAAAAATAATTTTCAAAATCGGTATACAAATAAAATAATTAAGTTAATAAATAAATTAGTAATGAATTGTAAAATATGAAAGTTTTGTTGGGACCATTTATTTAGAAGATGAATGTTTTTTAGCTAAAAATGTTTATAAAATGGTCCTCCAATGTTTTTTATTTGCACCTAGTACTCTTTTCTTTGAATGCGACCCTACTTTGTATAGTTTTTGTTTAAAATTGGTTTAAAACAATTTTTTTAAAACTTTACAGTATATGTAAGTTCAGAATGTATTTAGAATAAATAATCCAAAACACAACATAAAAATAAATTATTTTGAATTAAACAATTAAAGCATATAACTATTTATGGATTAAATAATATATCTAAAAATATAATTGTTTGTAAATTTGGAAAGATACGAAGTGAAACTTTTATTGGAAAAGGTTGATCCCATGTGTTAAGACCATGCATGCCTATATATACAAATCAGCATGCAGTGGCAGTGCATGGGGGTTCACACCCTTCTAGTTGCTGCTTCCTATAGTCATCATCACCGGGAACAAACTTGTTCATGAACTTTGCGAGACCCTTCATCTTCAAAAGGGTAGACTATCCCAAAAGATATATAAACATACACAGATAAGGAGGTGTGAAGTGTGGACATTGAGATATACAGTGTTTTTGAATGCTTAACAAGAAATTACAAAATATATATATATATATATATATATATATATATATATATATATATATATTTAAGTTAAAAAAGTAGTTTAATCCAAAACATTTTTTTTATATATATCGAATTGTTTATTTCAGAATATATTTTCAAATTTGTAAAGCTTTTCCAAAATCTAATTTACTTGAAAATCAAATATAAGCTAGTAGTATCATCTTCTTAGGGTGGACGTAGAAAATATGGGATACATGAAGTAAATGTCATCTTATAATCAGTGTTTCACAAATTTTGTCCACGTAACACTAAAACATGACAATGGCCTTAATGGACGGTGAGATGAGAATATCATCATTTGTAGGCAAGACATATTCTTCATCCAATTTTTACTAAGTATATATCTTTGTTATTTGAATATTAGTTAAATTTTATAATTTTCATAGCGTAAATTTCATGTACCGAATTAGGTAAGAAATTTCATGTATTGAATTAGGTAAGAAAGGATTCAAAATTGTGCCAAAAAATAAAAAATAACGACCACTATTTTAAAAAGTCCATAATGATCCAAATATGAGAAACAGATAATTAAGGTAAGTCCTTTATACGAGAAAAAACCTAAAACAAATTTTGTTAGAAATTAAAAGAAAAAAAAATATATACAATAAGATGAGAGGTGTTATTTCAGTAACACTCTATTTCTTTCCTATAATTAATCCAAAAGTTACCAGACATTGTGACACCAAAAACTATCGACTAAAAATTCATTTCAAATATAATTAAAAAAATTATTATAAAAATGAACAAATTTACCATACATAACAACATATAATAATCAGAGTGAAATTATATATATATATATATATATATATATATATACTTCATCAATCTTATCACCTTGGTCAAAGAAGTATGTGCTGGTCACTACCAAAAGATAAATAAATAGTGGCGCTCTATTCTATTATTGATTTTGAACTCTGTAATGCATGAAAAAACTTGCAGATTTCGATTTATTCTGCTATGCATTCCACAAGCTCAGCTATTCATCAAAACAAGCCCACTAGATACTAAAACCATATAAATTACATATTATTATTGCGCGTGCCAACAAAATAATAATGAACCATCTGAGTTTCGACTCTACAAACTGACGTCACCTTGCAGTTGTTATTTTTCGCTATGATTCGCTATATGCAACTAATTATTCTAAGACTAAAAAGCTTATCACTAAATCTGTGTAAAAGGAATGAATCTTACTCTGCATCTGACTTCCTCTGCCGTTTAAATCTCATTCTAACTTGCGTGCTGCATGGTAAAGCTCCAAATAGTCAAGAGCAGGCCGGTTCCAAGACCAGTCTTGCTCCATCACCCTTTTGCATAAACTGTTAAACCAATCACGGCCATCATACCATGTTGATATTGCCCTGAAAAATTGTCCAGAATGAATTTTGCAGTAAGAAACATTTTCAAGAGTGTGGCAATAATGTAGAACAATGCAAAAAACAGTTCAACATTGAAAAATGAAAAAAAGTCAAATGTTTCTGGTTTCCTCTGTCCATGTCAAAGCCACTTTCAATCCTTCTTTCCCAATGAAATTTCCTATGCAAGAAATTCAGCATACAATCTTGGGATATTCTTAAACTTTTTCACAATATTAGGGAAATGAAAATCCTACTTCTATTAAATACCAATCATATACATGCAATGCAACAGATTAAGACACCACTGACCCTTAAATATGATCTCTACCTGGGCTTTTCTTGATATAAATATGAATTTTTTGAAAGGATTTTTGCCTGCCCAAGCTGAGATTTTAAAATCTACCACAGATACTAAAAATGATTTAATTTCTCAATTTATGCAGGCTATTTCATTGCTTTCTTTCGTGGTTGTCTAAACTATTTCTTCATCACCTAGTAAATGAGACCAAACAATCGAGGACAGTGTGGTGTCGAAAAAGAACAAGCCTCTCAAGTCTCAATGGTATCTTTTTCAACACATATATTTCAGGATTGAAACCAAAAATAACTCTCAAGGGACGTGAGCTCTTTTCACTGAAATCTACGTACTGTAAATCTGTAATATATTTTGTGTTATGTTATTGGCACATTGAGTTTTTCATGATATAACCACCATCATATGGCAAATAACTCACCTATTGAGAGCATAATCAACACCTCCAACATCAGCTCCATCAAAACTAAATCCATTTGTCTCAAGACCTTGTGCTTGTGCTCTATCTTTATCATGATCAACGTCAAATACTGTATCAAAAAGTCCTGCAAAATTAATTTAGATGAATGTCAACTGAGCCAAAACAGAGTTGAATGATCAAAACAAATTGTAAAAGATAAAAAAATATTCCTTATATAAATGTACATGAGGCAAATGGTCAATGTATTATTAAGGGTATGCATATTAGCCATCCCACTTAAATAAATATTATCGAACAAAGAAAATGTATAGTATGTACAGACCTCCAGTTTTTCGAACAACAGGTATTGAACCGTATCTCATTGCAGTGAGTTGAGTGAGTCCGCATGGCTCAAAGATTGAAGGAACAAGAATGAAATCCGCACCAGCATATATCTAGAACAAAAGAAGTCTAGAAGAGTCAGTAGCGTCTCATTATGTTGTACTTGTATATATAATAATGGGTAAAATGTTAGCAAAGATTTTTCAGTTTCATAAGTTACCAAGTGTGAAAGAGGCTCGTCATATGCAAGGGAAAGTCTAGCACGATCATTGTAAGAGGAATGCAATTCATTGGCCAAATTCACAAAATCATTTTGGATACGAGGATCTGGGGCTGAACCAAGTAATACAACCTGCATACCATTGTACAGTCAAGATTTGTCTACTTAAACGAAACATTAGTAAACAATATCTAAATTGAACAAGAAAATCTAATAATAAATTCAAATGGCATACTTAGACATTTACCCTTGGCTTATAATGAAACTAAGCACCTATTTGATGTATAAAACTCATTCCAGAAGGGTATAGGGTCTGTATGTTTATTTTTGCCAAATCACAAGCCACCAATCTTTTACACAAGGTTGATGAGGATCGAGAAACAACTTAATCAAAGAATATTTAACACCGCATCAGTTCTCCGTTAGCCACTTGCCCAAAATTTTGAACTATGAAACAATGATTTTGTAATGATAACAAAAATAACAGTTAAAATATATATAATTTTACTATCCTATACTACTGGTACTATGCAGGCAATTATGGCACTGCTGGTTTACACTTTTGTAAAATAGAAAAAGAGGAATACCTGTCCACCACGTTCTAGGGTGCGCCACATGGCATGTTTGATTAGATGAATTCCTTTCTGATGAGTCAATCGAGTAATAATTCCAACTATAGGAAGATCAGCTCTTTTTAAACCAAGCTTTTGTTGCAAGGCTTCCTTAGAAGCTCTTTTTCCTTCAACAACATTTTCTGATGTGTATGATACCTGGAATAATGTGATATAAAAATAGTATAATTGAATTTCTAAACTAAATAAAATAACTTCTATATGATAAGTACACGCATGGTAATAAGGAGGTGGACTCATTGTAGCTATTAATGAACTCTACTGAATAAAAGAACCCCTCACTCCATTTGCATTGAAGAAGTCCTAGTTAAAACGTATGTTAAACTCATTGGAGCAATGTACGCAGTTGTGCATATGTGTGCATGTCTACTTACAGGAATGAAGTTATCATTATATGGGTCCCATATATCTGGATCGATTCCGTTTATTATACCATGGAACTTGGGAAGATGAGGAGCAATTACAGGATTACCAGCAATCTCTCTTGAATATGTGGGGGAGACCTGCCAAATATGCATGACCAAGATGTAAAAATCATAATCAGCTTCTTGATTTCAAATTACTTATTCAAATTTAACTCCAAAATTGAATCTGATGTCACAATTTTATAAAATTGTATCATGAAGGGGAAATATTTAAAAGGATGGCCAGTTAGAGAGCCAAGCAAATTCTTGACAGGAAATGCTTTACGTTGTAAGTGCACATTTATAATTTGTTTGCTGCCATAACATACATAAAACTTTTTTCTCTCCATTAAAGCAATCTATTAATATATAAGCTAAGATTAATTTTTTTTATTAAAAGAAGAGACAGCGCATGGTCCTCTCCGTGATCCCAGAGAAAAGCTTAATTCCACACGAGGTAATAAAGTCAGCAAGTTCAAAGCTGGCTACATAAGTTTATTTGATAAGCTACAGTCTAAATCCAAGTGTACAAGAATCTAAAAACTAAGTAGATGGCTTGTATTGAGTGTGAGCTGAAGCACAAGACAGCAGCCAAAGATTGTACTTAACACAAATAACCTGTTGCAGGTGCAGACATAACATTAACCTTCTTTTATTCGTTACTAATGAAGAAGAAGAAGCACACAAGTTACAACATAGATGAAATCTGCAGTCCTCTATAAACAAAATAGAGTGAAGAGATTGATTAAATAGAATCCCAACGGTAGTAGTAATCTACTTTATCAAATTCACACTATAAAAACAAATTTGTTACAGTTTTCCTGTAACTGCATCCTTCACAATAGAGTTCTAAATAAAAAGCAGGTATAGTCAAGATAACTACTCAAGTCTTATGGAAACAAGCGTTAAAAAATTAGTAATGCATTTTTTATAATATAAGTTGTTTAATTTTAATTTCTTTTCTACTTTTTTATTATAGTAGTGTTTAGCCAATAATAAGAGTTGGTTCACACTCTTTACTTGTGCTCAAGCTGTGGCAAAGAGGTTTCCTAGATGTGTTTGAGCCAAAGAAAAATATTTTTAATTGTTACACAAGTTGGTGAATGTCGGACATGTGTTGGATTCGTGTTTAACAAGTATCACGTCTGATAGATGTAATGGGCTTAGGACCATCTCTTTGTATTTTTCTATTATAAATGCATATACTTATGTGCTCTAACATATTAGGGATTCAGCCTATGTCTCTCTCTCTCTCTTATTTTAACATGGTATCACAGCCTCCTAACTTTCAACCAATTTATCTTACAGTACAAGGATCATCAGAACCATGGTTCCACTACTTTTGTCGTACACACATATACATCATTTTTTGACATCACTCACTTCAACTCTCTTGGCCCTTGGGTTCTAGACTCAGTCGACCCATACCACATTCTTGTATAATGAAAGAGTTGATATTAAAGGTTATTGAAAAGTTCAATGATTTGATTAGTTGACTTAAAGAAATGAGACTAAAAGGACATGAAGGAACAAAGAGGACAAACTTTAATTTTAAAGACGGAAAAATGGAAACATGACCAATTTTTTTTAGAGGCTATTTTAGAACCATTAGCTAGAGTCATAAAATGAGGAGTTTTAAAAAATAAAAGAGAAGAGAATAATGATGGATTACCAGACAATGATCCATAGATTTTGACAATCCATAGATTGGGAAATGCAAGCTATTGACGAATTTGGAGTTATTAATGATTGTGTTTGCCTGGTGGACTTTAGATTCAAATAGTCCTGATATTCCTCATCAGAGAACTTGAGCTCAATCACTTCTATGTTGAAAATATGTGCAATCATGTCATGGAAACCTTGTAAAGAAAAATAATTTTCTTGCATATAACCCATTTTCTTGCAATAGGTGCATTGAGGGCGTCCTTTGCCACCACGTCCTCCTCTAGTGCCCCACCTCTTCCTCAAGTAGAAATCATGGCAAAAGATTCAACTACTTCCTAAACATTTTTACTCTTGAAAGTTGGAACTCGAAGAAACCGTATAGATAAACTTTCATGGAAGGAACTTCTTGACCAGTTAAGATTTGATCTTTGACATGATCAAAATCTGGATTTATGACCCGAGAATCATAACCATATAAAATTTATCCAATTTTTTCTTTATCTTTTCTACTGAATCTTCCTCCAAGAAGATCTTAAATTCTTCCACTGCTGATTTAGCTTCAACAATAAAGGACATCGTATCATTATCTGTCTGTTTGAGGGAAGCCAGTCCCGAATCCGTACTTTCCGGTACTTTTCCTACTCCCTTTTCCTCTTTCAAGTGGGTTGAACTCTTTCTTTTTCTTTTATTGGCACGGATGGACACCTCGAAGAGAATCCTTCTTCTTCTGCCTGGCTAGCTTTGTACTGACTGATAAGAGTCTCCAATATGCAAGCCTTACACGTGACTTAGTAAGCCAAAATAGGGCAACCCACTGCTCGCGACGTGCGGTACGAGTTGCTTTGGAAAAGGTATTTATGTATCAATCAGTTGCCAGAGAAAAAAAAAAGTACAATTGCAACTTCAGACATTGAAGAATATTTTTTTAATGAGCAAATTTGGCGCAAGCCAATGCCGCTAATAAACACCCCCTTTTTGAAATGAAACAACTTTTAAGCGCCCTAACATGTACCTACGGAGCAGAAGATAGATCGGTCCTCGTAGAACGTTCAAGACTTTAAGTCTGTGTTCCATATCATTTGGGCATTTTTCCAAAAGAAATTTAACATTAAAAAAAAATCTGAGAGTGCTCAAAATATTTTGTTATACTGATTGTCAAAGTAGAGTACATAACTAAAAATCAATTTTCTTCCACTATTGAGCTTGATTTGATGGGTCATCGCTTCCGTATTTTTCTAGGTGACCATGGAACCCTTGACCTAGGAACTAGAGTTCCACTAAAGTAGACCATGACAAATAATTTTATCTATTTATTTTTTCAGATGTTATAGTATAAGACCCAACAAAGGAGTTTGTGGGCCTTGGAGCCATGTTTACACTATAAGGGAGAGATATACCATGAGAGAGTGAGATAGGGATAAGGCCTCGCACCAAATAGTACCCAAAACAAAGAAAAATAGTAGCAGCTCACGGCGAACAACAACAATGGATGGCAGTGGCAGACAAGGACAAGGACAGGCAAAGTGGGATCAACCTACTCTAATACCAACTTAAGATTAAAAAGAAAAAACATGTAATTACAGAGCTTGAACTCCCTCTCTTAGGTTCTCTTACTTGTAATGGAAGTTCACAAATATAATGAGTAGAGAGAAAATGAAAAGATCTATTCTAGAAACTAGATACAGATAAAGATACAACTCATAGATACACATGCTTCTAGAGACTACGTACAACTATCTATTTAATATCTAATAAATCTAACAGATCTCAAAGTCAAACTCCTAGGGAATCGAGAGGAGCCACTCTCAACTAGAGAAGCATAGAAAATTATTTGGAAAATTAACTATCTTACCGTTACTCGCCATGACATTTATTTTGCAATCAGTATGGTGAGTCAATTTCTTAATTCTTCATATGTAAATCATTGAAATGTCATTCGTGTATTGAAGTATATTAAAAGTTCCCATGGAAAAGGTTTATCATATGAACACAATAATCACACTAAAATTGTATGTTATTTAGATATTGATTGGGCAAACTCTCCTTCTAATAGGAGATCCATTTCAAGATATGATGTCTTCTTTGGTGATAATTTGATCCCGTAGAAAATGTTGTTGCAAGCTCTAGTGCGGAAGCAGAAGATAAAACTAAGGCTTTAGTTACTTGTGACCTTATTCGGCTTAAACAATTACTTAAAGAATTACAATTTGGAGAAATCATTCAAATGACACTTATATATACAATCAAGTTGTTTTTCATATTAACTCAAATCCCGTCTTTCTTGAAAGAACCAAAAATATTTAGATTGATTATCATTTTATTCAAGAAAAAAATTGTATATGGAGAAATCAAGATTGAGTTTGTTAATTTTAATGATCAACTAGTATATGGGTTTACTATATTATTACAAGGACCTAAAATTGATTATATTTGTAACAAACTTGGTACATACAATTTACATGCACCAGTTTGAGGGGAGTATTAGATGTAACGAGCTTAGGCCCATCACTTTATATTTTCCTATTTATAAATGCATAACCCTATGTGCTCTAAACACGTTAGGGATTCTCTCTCTCTCTCTTTTATTTTAACAATGTCCAAAAGTGTTGGACATGGCGACACATTTTTATAGGTGCTTCTTAGCCCTTATGACATGTTTAAGACTAAAAGAAGACAAAATGGGGTGGATAAGAGTAAGTTTCTGCGTGTATTGTTGAAAATTACATAGTTTAATTTAATCATCATCCCAACTAGCACGTAGCCTAGATGAATAGTAATATAGGAAATAGGCTTTTAAATATTAGCCATTATTCTTTTCTCTAATAAATAGTTTATTGTACTTATTATCTGTGTAACCAGCCCGTGTACAAATATTGCTCTGTTGACTGTTTATTTCACTGCTAATATCTCATATTCGTATATGTTAAAATCTTGTAGATATGTTAGAATCCTATGGATATAATAACCTATAATACTAAGATCAATTGATGATATTATAATCATTAGATTGATTCTATATTTATGTTATTAGTCTAAAATAGGGTAACTGAATATTCTGAAATTATGTTCTCTTCCCTAAAAATATAAATGGCACATTTAGAGCCATGCCTGGACTGGAGTCAAATACTCCATCCGGTTCTTACATTTAGACACTTGAAGTCTTGTCTTACTCATTCTCAAAAATTAAAAAAAAAAAAAAATGAAACAGAAAATAGACAAAAAAAGAGAAAATCAGTTGACAAACCCCATTCAAAAAAGACAACTTAGAGCAAAACTATTACTAATTACTGTCACAAATGAAAATTATCATCATGAGTATCACCGATGTTAAGAAAGGGAAAAAAAAAGTTGTGGAAATAGTATGTGTCTTCACCTAATAGATGAAGTTTGTGGGGAATAGTGAGTTCACTCAACATGGTACCTATGTTTCTTAACCAACATGGTACCTTGTTGCACTTATATATGGTAATAATTAAAATTTGACTAAATAAACCTTTGGGATAACTAGTTCATGATGTGGCAAATTTGAGTACAACGTGGCTGTGGTGTGTGCATTGTCCATGCTTCAAGCCTCAAAGGTCTTGATAGAAATGTAGTTATAAAAACCATTTATGTACTTTCATCTAACAACTTGCGGTTTTGGAACAATTGGTCAATGATAACTTACATAATCAAACACTAAGTGAAAGTTAGGGAAATTGACAAATAAGGCAGCACTTACAGTTGTAGCTTTGTCAGCATATTGCATAGCTTTTCCAATGAAATGGGCTCCAAATTCAAGGTTATGAATAGTGAAGACAAGTCGGGTTTTACTAAGACCATAATGTGCATAATTCTCTTTAAATATCCATGCAACCGGAGCACTTGACCAATCATGGCAGTGGATGATATCCTGCCCATTTATTAGAGCCAATTAAAATACATCTTCGGTGACATTGTGAAACCTGAGATCACTTGTTTTATATAAATGGTATCTTAAATATAAAAGATAAATAGCTCGCCCAAATAGGAAAGCTGATCAATTGGAGAGGCGCTGATAATACTTTTGGTTGTTTTATGCATAGGAACATTAGTTACAACTAAACAAATGCATGGAATTACACAAGGCGGACATATCATGTTTTTAATGTCAAGTGGGATTACACAAATGCATGCAAATTGCATATAATTTTTTGGGTCAGGTGGGATGAGAAAATGTTGAGTTAGCACACGGCATTAAAAGAATAATAGACACTTCTTCATTCACTCTTACATCAGGAAAGGAAATGTTGATTGGAAGTTAAGACATTAACATCTTTTAATAATAATAAAAATTAACAGTTTAGTCACTAGTCAAATGATATTTCTTACGGGATGAAATCCATTTTGGAGTAGAAACTCGAGAGCAGCATGACAAAAGAAACCAAATCTCTCTGCATCATTCCCTCGACCATATACACAGCCCACTTGAAAGAATCTGCAGCAAAGAATATTATGTGAAACATTTGAAAATTTTCAAGTCAGCTTAATTGTAGCAAAGTAAAAATTAAGTTACCCAAAAAAAAAAAAAACACAACAGATTAAAAAAAATATTACAGATATGGGCAACAATATCTTCAGATGATTACAAGGAAATTATAGTTTAGCGCTCAATGTTAAACAAAATACAGCTAACAATTTATCAATTCAAGCAGTTGAGTTTATACAATTAATAAACCTAATACATACAACTGGAGAGATCAACTGATTTCTTTCATATATTCAACTCGCTTTTGCTTCATCCGAAGCCTTATTTCACATAACATACAGAAAATATCTTTTGTTTTCTACAGTTGAAGAAGTGCTGATAGATTTCATTTAATTAACCGTTATTTGAATTCATCATACAGTTTCAAAAAATTAATCCTGCTGTTGATATTCAAATATAATTTGGGTTAAGATTTGAAAGAGAAAAACTTGGATTGTACAAATTTATCCTAGTGTTGTACAAATTTGGGTTTAAAATTTACCCAACCGAATGCTACTGAGAAATATTTTGGTCTCATGATTGCTATTAAGTAACTAAGGTTCCGTAAATATATTGAAAACCTAACCAGCAAGTTCATTACATGTGCCTGAGCACCACCTTTACTACTCAATCCCTAAATTCTGATACCTCTCAACCACCTTCGTAATAATCAATCAACTGATTTGTTTGTAATTTAAAAAAATAAAAATAAAAAAATAAAAAAATTCAAAGAATTCTCTCTTTTCATCATCTGTTTTTCTTATCTCCCTGAAAATTCAGACTTCCTAACATCTACACTGAACAAAGGGTAATCAAAGCCTATAAGATTCCCATCAAGCAATCTGATTATATTACTGTTGAAGTTCAATTGTGTGACTAGAGTTGCCATAAACTTTCTAACCTAGAAAGTTGATGTGGAAAAGGTAATTTTCCAAAATAAAATATGACAGCTCAGACATAATGAACACTTAATTGACATACATACGACAGATTGGAGAAACAACGCATTTACCCATTCTGAGGCTCCAAAAAATAGACAGATAGACCTTCAACATTTCCATGCCATACTTTTATGTCAGTCCCTCCCCATACATAGTTTTTGTGATATTCAAAATGCTTTACCTGCATTAGAAGCCAAATATTTAGTAGCTAGTAATAACAATAACTAAAATGCAAAAAACAAAATATGCATTTTCCTAGACATGATGTCTTCCATAGCCACTGATGCAGATGCTCAACACTCAAATGTGAAGAAGCATTCTCAACAAACCATTCATTTCCACGCAAAAGGCACTGTAACATATTTGTGTCCCCCCTTCTCTCAGTTATCGATTACTTTCGTATTAAATACCAAACTATATCATTTGCAATGATTATTATAACAACCATGATGTATTCAATATGTAATACCAGAAAATTTTGTATTAAGTTGGAATACATATTATATATCCAATGCAGAGTATAAGATGTAAAATAAGTACCACACTAACAGGAAGAAGAAAAAAACTTACGTTGCTAAGATTCAAGCAGTCATACTTTGGAAGAATGATGTCCACATTGTGATTTAAATCCTGAATAACCCGGGATAGACTAGTAACAACATCACCAAGGCCCCCAACCTGCCAAAAATGAATACCATCAGAAACAGAAAAATGTGTTAAATTAATTCACAAGTACCCTCTACATAACATAGTAATAAATAACAATCCTTTTTCTGAACAAATTAGTAATAACAACTGATTAATGGAAATAATTACCCTTCGGAAGCACCCCAGCTATGTCAGGGAAGCTTCCCCTAATGCTATCCATTTTATCTGAAGAGAAGAATTTTATTTTATTTTTTCTCATGATGTTCAATAATTCTCTTTTCAATCACGAATAAAATAATAGACTTAGGGAGGTATTTAAATCTTCTTTCTTTATTCTACAAAGATAAGAAGGGGAAAATATAATAAAGTTTGACTATTAACAAAACTTCCCCCAATGACATAAGACAATAAAGATTACAGAAGAGGAAAGACTAAGACAGAGAAAAGTACTGACTTCCAAAACAATTAAAATTAGTAAGACCATGAAAGTATGACGTAATCCAGGTATCCTTTCTGTAACCCTGGTTTGAATTCAATGAACAAAGGACAGCTAACGAGATGTATTTCTAACATCCCATATATTTAAGGAATATTAAATGCCAAATATAAATGTTCTTTATCAATGTTTTGTAGTATATGCCAAAAATAAATGTTCTTAATAAACCATAAGGTTTTATTGTGTTCCCTCAAGAAAAATTTATATCATCCCATATATTTAAGGAATGTTAAATGCTACCCTTAAACCTGCCATAATTCAGATAATGAAGAATTAAATGATTGATTTACCTTCCCCCATAATAAAGAATATGCTAATTTTCCAGCCCTACAAATTTTCAAATTCCATTTTTCATGGAAAGGTATTGAAAGTGTACAGAAATTGCAACTGATTTTTTTTTTATTCATTTTATGAGAAGACCACCACAAATGTATTTGTTACAATGTTGGAATGAATCCTCTAGAGTTGAATTTTCGCATGACTTTCTCATGTGGAAATTTTGTGTCTATCTCTCCATAATATTAACAAATATTAATAAGGACTTACCTATTACAAACTTCCTATTTGACAAAGTCATGTGAAAATTCAACACCAGAGAGTTCATTCTGGTCATGCCATAACACATGACAAAAAGTAAAATTTCTTCATTGTAACTTCCTGCAATTTGCCAGCCTTGGAAATAAAACAAGTCTGCAGAGACTTGTAAAAGAATTTATTATAAGATACATGGAATATGTTATCTCACTTTTGCGATTGGGGCCATCTCCACAGCAATATGGATGATATGCAAAGGTGGCTCCTTTACAATACCTCCAAAAACAGGTATGTGATAATCCATTCCAAATTTGTTGTCAAAAACTCCACCATGTTCACTCTCAGAGAATACAAAGTCCATCATGTATGCATCCAGTGGAACCTTAACTGCAGAAACACAATCATTAAACTTTTTCAGGGCCAATGTCTTTTTACCTGGAGAGAACCAAATGATTATACCCTGGATGATGTTGCATAACACCAACTTTACAAATCTATGATGAAATTGTCCATCTTAAAAATCTATTTCTAATGATACAAGATCCATGGATATGGAATCTGAACAGAAACTATAAGGGACACATTAGAAACTCCTAGCAGCATTCTTTATAACATTTATGACAACAAAAACTCACCCACCAGATCAAGGCCAGCCAACAGCTTCCGACACACAAAGGGTAATGGTACATAAAAAATAAAAATAAAAAAACATTTTTAACACAAAAAACATTCACAAAAAGCTCTCCATCCTTATATTTATCTCTAATATATGCAGTAGCATATTGAATTTTTTTCTGAACAAATCCATATGCAATGGAATCCACAGGCTCTAAAAACCCATTGCCTGTTCTATTTGCCAGTAGTGTTATTCAAAGAGTACTATCCAGAAACACAAAAACAGATTGGTAGGAGAACAATGCACTGACATATGGTCTAGACTCTAATCATCTTTCAAATGTAAACTAAGGGAGAGACTCACCAGAGGCTTTGACATGGGTGCCATTCTCTGCAGGTAACATCCTCTGAGGTGGCAATGGACCATTACGGTGAGACCAGCGATTAAATGAACCTCTAAACCAAACCTCAGGCTTTCCATTCAGATTTGTGTTGGAGGGATTATAAAATACTGTCACTGTACTCCCTGCTTGAACATCAAGAGGGTCAGTGAATACAATATGCTTTTGAGAAAGCAAAAATCTTTTTAAAGTTCTTTCCTTTGTTTCGGCTTTCATTTGTGCTGTCTTTTCAGCCTGCAAAAAAAGGATAAGAACAAATCAACAAGATGAGTATTTATTAGTTTAAATATCTGTTAAAAGAAAAAAAAATGCTTTAGTATTTTGGCAAAGAGTTATAGGGATCAATCTAGAACTGCACTCTTAGCAAAAGGTGAACTTATCCTCCATACCTAAAGTTAGATTATAGAAATATACTATATTTTTTTCTGCATATATTTTACATGAAGTGGCACAAGAAAGTAAACAGACAACTGAAAAGCTTATTTTTATGATTGATAAGTATCTTAGGTCAAGCCTGAATGTTGCCATTTGGATATCATCTCAAGCAAGGACTAACCTTTGCACGTATGGCTTCCTCTCTTAACCTCCTCTCCTCCTGAAATTTTCTGTATATCAGTTGCTCTTCCTCAACCCAATACTGTTCATCAGGTGTAACCATAGGGACAATGGCGTGGAAATCTTTTTTACCATTGTTATCATACACACCTGCCTTTTGAGGTGGACCATCAGCAAAGACCCAATCCAGGACAAGAGCTTGGTCAGGTACAACAACTGCATAAAATATAATAATTGATAAAGAAAAGGTGTTGCATACTTCAAACTAATCCTAAAGAAAAGATGAAGTTTTTATCATCTTGGGATCCAGAATTCCTTCGCCGACCATCAAACAGTCATTGAACTCAAAAAAGTTTAAGGAGTTTATGTCTAAATCCTATTCTAGCAGTAAACATCCAATGCTTCGTAAAAGAAATTCAACTCTCTCTTTGCTTCTTTCTATCAATCTATGAAATTTAAGCCAAATGTATGTAAGACATAGTAGAAATCCAAAATGAGTTAGAATTAAAAATGGTTGTGTAACTTAAAAAGTTCAAGATTCAAAATTCTCATAAAATTTATTTTGCTAAATAATGGACATAAACACAATTATACCTGTCCCTTGAATAGGCAACCTTTTCATCTATAAATTAAATGATGGACATGACTGATCTATATATGATTGTTTCACCTTTTTACTGGTTTTTTGGACAGAAAAGGTACTTCAGAACCATGTGTCTGAATCTCATCTACAAAGTCATACCATTCACCTAATGCATCACCATTTACCAAAATACATATAGCATAAGTCCTCCTTCATATGGCAAACATGTGGCCATTATAAATAGAGAGATGCAAAACTCCTCCTCCGTGCAGTCACATAGAAGCACTTCTTCTTCTTTTTTTCTATTCATACATCTTTTTTAAAGTCTAGTAAAAGATTAATTTCAAGGACATGATTTAACTTCATATACAAAGCATATATATGTAAAAGAGCATACCATCGGCATACCACCAGTCATCTCCTTTTAAAACAGACTTGACAAGCCTTTCAATGATTGATAATCCATACTTCCAATTATTGTGCCCACCATGAATCCATACTTCATTAGCATGTGCAAGAGGACCTGAGCTTCTGTTATAATATAATCTGATCAAGTCCTTGCCTTTAAATTCACTAGGTTCAATATACCAAACATTATCAATTGATTTTACAACATTTTTCATCAATTGCGGCAATGTTTCTCGCATTCTTTGAACCTCCACCCTTGCCCGTGACCTGTCCTCTTCCTTTGCAACTCTGTCTGCCTCCATTCGTCTTTGCTCTTCTGCTTGTCTTTCTCTTTCAGCTTGCACCCTAGCAAGTTCTTCTAATTCTTTACGTTTCTCCTCAAGTAAGAAATCTTCAAATGCTAATGCATTCATTCCTCCATCAATGGGTATGCAGAAGTCTTTTTGGTCATTATTGTCATAGACATTTTGTCCGTTGAAGAACACAAAGTCTACCTGGTAGGCCTCTCTTGGCACATATAGTTGGCAAGACCACCAATCCGCCTTGAGACGTGTCTTATTCAACTTCACGGAAAAAGATTTCCACTTCCAATCATTGAATGCCCCCATGATCAGAATGTCTGGCTCCTCACTTAGTGCTGAAAGGCTCTTGTTAAGGAAAACTTCTATATCTTGATCAGGTTTAACCACAGGAGGATATACAAACAGCTTGGTCCCTTGAGAAAGTTTTTCCTCAGCAATTCTCTCTATCTCCTGCTGGCGCTGATTTTCTTCCAACTCTAACCTCAATTGCCGAGAAGCTTCCTCCTTTATTCTATCATCATTAGCAGTGCTTGATTCCTCATCAGCTTCATCAGTTATTTCACCAACAGTACCAGTATCTGCATCTTTAACATTCTCATCAATTTGGGCGCGATCTAAGAACCCTTCTTCTGAATCTTTAACAATCCCAACATCTCCATTGTAAGGAATATCCTCCTTCTTTAACTCGAGAACCTCAACATCCTCATCAATTATAGAAATGTTATCTTGACTGCTTTCAACAACATCCACCCTCTCATCTAACAACAATAATTCCCCCACATCCCCAACAATTTCATCAGTTCTATCTACAACCTCAAACCTCTCGTCTTCCGAAAATTCAACTTCCCCTTCTTTATCATCATCAATATTCACATCCACTGTTTGTTTCTTATCCCCCCCTGAAACGTCACTGACTACAGGAGTTAATGAGTCTCCCTTCTTCACTCTTGCATTCCTTTTGCTTGGGACAAAACCCTTTGCAGCAGTGCCTTTGGGCCTTGTAACTGACACCTTCTTCTGTTGCCTCCTCCGGGGAAAATCTATCAAGACATAAAATTAATAGAAAAGAATATTCATAAATTCGTAATCCCAACACAACAATACAACAAAAAGAAAATAAGCTAACTAAAAGACCTGCACTGGCACGGACGAAAGAAGCACCCCAACCTACTTTGCACGGTGTACACTGAAACCCAAAAGGAAAAAGGTACACATACGATAATATTCACCACCATAGTAATCCAATTTAAGAAGAAGTTAAAGTACAAAGTAGAAAACATAAACAAAGACGAGAGTAAGATGAAAAAACTTGGTAATTACCGTGTAAACACTTGCAAACGTTACAGAACGACGAGGTAACACCCCAGAAAACGGGTTCAGCTTCACACAACCGCCTCTGTAGGGAAACACGGTTTTGCAGTTCAGTTGCAAAGACATCTCCATAACCACTCACTTCCAACAACAAAGTTTCGTTCTTTGTTCCTCTTTTATACGCGTTGTGGGGCGAGCATTTGATCAATGCACTGTGCTAATAATCCAATGATCCGCAATCAACCAACATGCCTCCAAATCTCTGCGCCAAATCATAAAATAAATAAATAAATAAAATATTAGTATATTGTATACAAAACGAGAAACAAATTACGAAAACATAAAGAATGAAAATGAGTAGACGATGATGAGGAGGATGATGCATGCACTTGCAGTAGTTCGGCGATGGTGCCAATTGATTTGAGTATCGGAGTTTGAGCCACACAGATGACAGTCAAGTGGTGTGGTGTGTGTGCTCTATTTGTTACTCCTTTTTTTATACCATTTTTTACTATTTTTGCTCGCCACATTGTACATTCATTCGATCATGGAAGTAACGACGCTCGGAGAACTCATCCAACGGTGCAAAATCACTTATATTTGAGTGGTTATTGTACTGTCGAATGTTAGTGTCCAATGTTCCACGTCTCTTGTCATCTACGTTAATTATCAAACATTGCCAACTCGAAAAAAAAAAATTATGTTTCCGGAGATTATAGTCTTGTCATAATGAGAAATGAAGATATCTATTTAATTACCTTCGTTAAAGCAAGATTAAAGCTTTGATTTGTGTATTTTATTATAATTTTGTTTGGATTGTTAGGAAAAGGTTAAGTCAGATTTTTTAATATCATGTAAAGTTTGTAACTATAAGAGTCATCTTAATTTAATAGTTGCAAAGAAATATCCCTATTTTAAACGGTGACAAACGTTTTCAACCAAAAGAACCTAGTGAGAAGTTTCGGTTACTGTGAAAAAATAGAATTGATAAATATTATGTTAATAAAATTGAGGACCAAACTTAGACGTACTTTATTTTTGGAGATATGATTAAATGGAGGTGAAAAGTGTTAGAAGGGTGAGAAACAAGAAACCAATGAGGATGTGCCACATGTGAAATCAGAACGTGAAAACAATCTTGTTGGGTAGGTTTGTGCTACATTCTTCATTTGGATCATAGATTTATGGGACGTTGTAATCATAATCACGTTCACAGACTTAAAATATTTGAATGTCGAAGGAAAATCACGTGAAAGTGAACCACAAAAGGTGAAGTCGGTTTACCCGTTTTGCTTTCTGTGTCTGAAAAAAGCAACATTCACAACTAGGCAAACTGAACTTATCCTAAGGACCCATCTTTTAAAGGCTGTGTATCTGTTCACCATTTCATAGACATTTTTCGTTCATCAGGATTTTTTTTTTTTTTAAAACACTTTAATAAATTACTATTTGTCTCTACTCTAAACGTTAGTGTTTATAATAGGATTCATAATCCTAAACGTTAGTGTTCATAGTAGTAGGATTCATGAATTTTACATGAGTTAAGGTGAATATAATTTATACTTTTTTTTCTTTAATCTACTAATACACATAAAATCATAATAATTAAAGCTTCAAAACGCACTTAATATTTAACTATATTAATAATAAATACGAAATCGAGACAGTATCGTAGATAAAACAAATATAATAAAAATATTTATTATCTAATTATATATTTAATACACAATTTCAAAAACTCAAATTTAAAATTAACAATTTATGTTAACCAAAAATCATCTGAGATATTTCTCTCAACTCAATATATATGTACTTATTTTCTTCTTCTTTTTAATAGTCAAGGAATATTCCACGCATAACCCTTGGAAAATATATATAAATTCCTTTTCTTTGAATTTGATCTTTATAAAAACAATCAACAGTTGAATCTAAATTTAACGATCCATTCAGAATTGTTTTACCAAGCTCTATGAATAATGTTCATTAAAAAAATGGCATGGCCTTGTAACAGCAAGCAACATAATCATAACCTGTAATGAGTACATTTAGATTAACGAGTGAGATGATCATGACGGGAACACTATTAATCAGACACTTTGCTGAAAAATAGGGCAGTGCATCTCATTCTATTGGAGTCTCCAATCACATCTTAAAAATTAGGTTTATACTTAACCAAATTTGCTGAAACTATGTCATTTGTATTTTAATTTGATGATAGAGCTGGTTAATGTAAAGTTTTAATAAAAATAAAATATTAAAGATTTATTAGAGTTTCTCTACTAAAAAACTATTTTTGAATCAAAAAGCAAAAATACTTCTAACTTGTAATCATTCCTCAACGAAATCAATTTAGTCATCTACAAATTGTAAGTCTCTATAAATGTGGTCTGAAATTCTTTGATAACGAGCTAGCTACATGTGGAATGATATTCAACAAAACGTGATTAATTGGCTTGAGTGTGTTTAAAAGAACGTGTCTGCATATATTGGCACCACAAATTCGAATGTCAACGGATGGATGAGAAAGGGTTCATATTACTTTTTTCACGTGATTTATTATTATACAGATAACAAATTGTGCATGTCATATTTTTTTGCAAGTAATTTGTTCAGACTTAGTTTTCTCTGTACCCGTATTCATTTTCCCTACAGCTCCATCAGAGAATCAAAGAACAGTGAACGGTTCTGCTTGAGAAATCAGAATCAATTTGAGAAGAAGACAAGACATAAATGTAGACCTCCTTTGGAAAGATCCACAACAATTTCTTCATTCTTATGCTTTAGGTGCTTATCTCCTGAGATCAAACATGAACCTGTCGAATATATAAGATGGCTTTTACAATTGCATCATCATTATGTATTTTCTAAGCTACATATGTTAGTCAATCAATCGGAAGTTCAACAACATTTTCTGCTGCGTAACATCGTCACATATTTAATAGTCAAGACACAAATACATGCACTGCTACATTTAATAGAATTAATATAATTGAGGAGTTACTTTTTCGTTTTCTCTAATCGTTTGGAATACAAAACTCTGAGAATCACTTATTTTCGAGGATAGATTCCTGAAAGCCAAAAACAGAAGAAGTATCAAGATTCAGTAGTGTGGGGAAAGTATGATGTACATATCCAATGCCAAAATCCAGCTAATATGAGATGGCTTATATTTCTGTTTGTGTGCTGTTTTCATCTACATGATGTTATGTGCCACTCTGCTCTGTGCAGTTTCAGTTCAGGAATCAGGATTCAGTGATATAATATTTTATTGACAGCTATCTATTGAGGACCACCGTAGTTCGGAGACCACCTTATAGATATAATATATGTTTTCAGTATCAAACACGATCGCCACATTGCAGTGGAACATTTTGCAAAAAGTATGTGAAACACCACTTCATAACATGTCCATGGTGCAGCAAATCAACAGAGAGAACTCACTGAATCTTTATATATAGATCTATCATTAATTCATTACATACATAATTCAGAAGGCAAAAAATAAGTACAACACAAAAAAGTGTCCGCTTCAGTCTTAGACAAACATCAGAAAAGGAGAAGGGCAACCAGCACCCATCATATAATAATGATAATGATAACAATACCTACAAATTGCACTATTGCAAGGCATTGGCACCAGCCACAATTTCCAGAATTTCGCCAGTGATCTTAGCCTGGCGCGCCCTATTGTAGACCCTGGACAAGTTCTTCTTCAACTCCATAGCATTGTCGGTTGCATTGCTCATAGCACTCATTCTTGCAGCAAGTTCACTAGCCAGCGACTCCTGCAACGCCCTCAGTATCTGGCTGTTTAAATACAAAGGCAACAGAGCATCAAGGATCTGAACCGGGTCTTGCTCAAACTGCAAAATAGGTGAGTAATCCGTAGTCTTGGTCCTCACAACATCTCTCTCCACAGTCAACTTCCCCTCCTTGGTGGTCAACCTGAAGAACTCATCTTCAGCAGCATCAACACACACACCATTCACATCACAAATCTCCCCCTTTGGTGATAGTGGAAGCAAAGTGTGAATCACAGGATCTGACTTCACCAATGACACAAACTTGGTGTACAGAAGCTCCACTTTGTCAACCTCTTCGCTCACGAACAGTGAGAAAACATCATCAGCTATAGCCTGAGCTTCCTTAGCAGTTGGAAGTGCCCCACTTTCTAGAAACCTGTCAACTGGTATATAAGGCCTTCGAATGAAATAAGAGTTACCCTTTTTGCCAACACTTATGACAGTGTATTCCAAACCAAGTTGCTTCAACTCTTTAATTCTAGCCTCAGCTTTCTTTATGATTGCGTTGTTGTAACCGCCGCAGAGGCCGCGATCGCCGGTGCACACGACAAGTGCAACCTTCTTCACTGGCCTCACCTTTGTTAGAGGAATGTCAACGTCCTCGGTTTGGAGCTGCTCATTGATGTTGTAGAGGACTTCAACAAGGGTCTCTGAGAAGGGTCTTCCGTTGACCACAGCTTCTTGAGCTCTTCTCACTTTTGCAGCTGCCACAAGCTTCATGGCCTCGGTGATTTTCTGTGTGTTTTTGACAGAATCAATGCGGGTTCTGAGCTCTCGGAGACCACACTGAACTTGGGTGGAGGAAGAGCGTGAAGGGGTGCATGAAGTTGGGTTTTGAGAAGGGAGCTGAAAAGGGTTGAGGACAGAACGGAATGAGAGGTTGGAGGGGTCCGAGAGGGAAGGTTTGGAGGACACGAGCATTGTGAGATTGGAGCAAGACATTGTTTGTTGATCTTGTGTTTGAGGAGATTGAAGAGGGTGTGAGGTGTGTGGGTTTGGTTGCTTTATTTTGAGATTTTTTTTTTTGTGTGTGTGTGTGTGAGAGAAAGAGGGGTCTTATCCTTTCCTTGTGTTAATGTCTTGTGTTGGGTTAGGATTCTCTATTGCCATGGAAGTTACAAGTGGGAAATGAGTGGAGGTGATGATAGGAAGTGGATGAGGTTTGGAGATAACGATTTTGAAGTGGAGTGAGGAGAGAGCCATGTAAGGAAATAACTGTGGGTCCAAATTCTGATGTGGCTTTGTATGAGTGGTGCTGAGTGGCAACTGACAAAGGTATATGCGGCTGTTCGAGGGCTGATTCCTTCACCTTTAACTCACTTCATTTCTTCTTTTTCTCTACAAACTAGGGACTGTAACTACATTCCCAGGAGACAATTCTCAACGTAAGACTCATACTTGTTAAACTCCAACCAAGTCTACAACAGTCTCGTCTCAGTTCATCTCAACTCTGAACTCTGATACAGTAGCACTTTTTATTATATTCTAAATTCATCATAAAATGTCTAAATATTTGGATAAAAATGAAACATTAATCATTTTAGGTAAAAAAAATAACGGTATAGCCAAATTTATTTTAATTTAAAAATAATGTCTTAATCAACTCAAAATATTTGAAAAACAAAAATCATACGCAATCTAAGTTGAAATAGAAAAATACAATTAACCTTGCCATGTCTGTATAAATACAAGGAGAAGAGTATGTAAATGAATCAAACGGGAGGTATACCTAAGGTTATATGGTACACAAGTTGTCCTCTAAAAATAAAAATTTAGTATTGTGAATTTTTATTATACAAAAGGATTTGTCAATGAAATATTTTATTTATGGCATGGGTAAATAAATAAGCACAACTGGTGTTTCTTTGCATGTTTTGTGCTCAATAAAATTTAAAAAAAAAAATAGGATATCTCATACAGGAATTTTATAAGAATTATTCAAAAATAAAAACATTACTTTATTATAGATGTTACATACAAAAAAATGAAATTAAAAAAAATATATTTATATAAATAATTTTGATCAAGTTAAAATAATTTTATATGTAAAACTTATATTAAAATAATATTATGTATTCATAAGTAATTTTTTAAAGCAACTTCTTATGGATATGCTGACATGTTTTTTTTTCATAAAAAAAAAAAAACAAAACAAACAAACAGGGAAGATGATGATGATAACAAGTTTAACTCCACCCACGCCAATAATTAAAGCATTGATGTGCGGAACCCACGTGTGGTTGATTAATAAAAAAATAAATATTTAACACGCTTTTAATTTATAGATTTTTTTTTTTGTTCTAAAAACCAGGATGTGTATTATTTGCTCAGTACAGGGGCATTCCCCTTTTATGTTTATGCTTGGCTACTAATACACTATACAGACTCAATTGCAATCTGCATTGATGTTAAAAATTTATACTCATGTATACAATGTTACAATCATGGCTGGTTAAGACTGAGAATAAGTAGTTTTAACAGAAACTGAAATTTTAAATAACAGCCATGAATAATATTTACTTTGAACAAAAGGAATGCCAGAGAAAGATGTGCAGACAAAGGCAAGTCCAATGGATTGCTTGCCCACGGGCTCTTTGGCACTTTCTTGATCATTACTTGTTGTGACATCAGAATTAGTAAACAATACATGTATTAGCATCATATACAATTCATCACTACCACCATAAAAAAGGAGACTGGATATTCGCAATAGAAAATTTGTGTACATGTTCTCCAATGATCATGAACGAGCCATGGCCAATTTTTGCCTATGGCCTCTCGCAACATATTTACATAGACAAGATCCCTTCAACCATTGCGAGTAATAGTAGTACAAAATTAAAGTCTCAATTCTTGGTGCAGCACGTCGAAAACATGAAGATCCCCATTAAGCTCTGGTTAACTGTAATCCAGCAATAGCAGCAACAATATTAGATGCCAAGCAACAACAAAAACAAGCTCAGTTAGTTCAGATGGTACATCAATCAACAAACTTCCACGTTACCATCATAGTTTGAACTTGCAAAATTCAATCATATTTGTACTCCATTTGACAGAACATTTCAATCAACCCATCATCCTGATTACCATAATGGCCTGACCTTAGTCAATCCTATTCGAACCCCATTTGCCAGAATACTTTAATCAACCATTTTCATGAATACCATCATCGGTTGATCTTTCAACAGTCAATCCTATATTTAAATTTGCATTAGATTTGCCAGAACGCTTCCTGGGTTTTCGTGGAGTGGTAGACAAATAAGGACCAACACTTGGCTGTTGTACCATGTCCACGGTATGTCTCTCCTCTGTGACAGCTTTACCAATTGAGAAGTTTCTAGAAGCAGAAGCTTCGCCAATCGTACTCTGTCCAAGTATGGCGTTTGAAGGTACAGGATTACCTGCCGTGCATGAGTCTAAACTTAGCCATGAAGAACTACTTCGGTCATCTTGTTCCTCATTAGTATAAGCACCATTTAGTGCAGTATTATTTATAAGGAGGCCGCCATCAACTTGAGCATCAGAATGGGCCCTTGGCTCACTTGGTTTTTTCATACAAGCCGCATACGTTACAACATTTTCTTCAGAAGAAATTGGGACCTCCTAATAGAACAAACATAAAAGAAAGGTTAGAAGGGAAGAAAAATAAATAATTAGTTAGCTGAAGGAATATGAAATAGCTTCAGAAGAATACTGGGGTGTTGAATCTTACATACAGGACTATAATGATCAACCACTAACTCACTTCCATGAAGGTTACTGTTATAAAAATACTGGCTCATAATGCATCAGAGGTCATGAACCAAGAGGCAACAGAAGAAAAAAGGTAATTAATTGATTGATGCAGAACATGTCTATTGTTGCATAAGGGAATTAGGGAAAAGCCAAAACTGAGAAGCTTTCATGCAGCAGAGAGGAAAAAGCAGGTGCAACTAGTGAATAAACTAGCTATTTATTTAGAGTTTAGATATGGCTCAGCCAACAGAGACGACAGGCTGACTAGGATAACGTGAATCTCAATTTTGCCTGGTTAAGAAAAGAATCGCGTTCCCACTGATTGACTGATATAATTAATTACCATCCAAAGAAGGCACAAACATGTGACGGTAAAATTTAGAGGGATGTGAATAGAGCAACCTGGAAATAGAAGTATGCCCTCTCAATGCATATAGAGAGTTTAACTGAATACAAAAATAGAAAGTTCAGTAGTAAAGCTAAGGAAGGAGGATAAAGTTGGTAGTTCCACATATATTTTGAAAAACAAAAATATCCCACCCTATATACTTTGAAAAAATGTTTTTGGTTGTTTTCATTTTTAATTACAGAAATACTACTCGTATTCATCTAATTTTTTATTTTTTGAAGATTAGTACAAAACGTAAGAAAGGGAATAATTGTTTTTTGTAATTAAAATTGAAAACAAACATTAATTTTACAAATGAAACAAGTCTTTTAGTTTCTCTTCATTTGGAAAACTGAAGTAGAGAGAAAAACTATACAAGAGAAGATATATGTTATTGCAAATCATAATTTGTAAATTGTGTTTCTCCTCCTTATTGATAAAATTGTAATATATAAATGCACACGGAGACGTGCATAGGGATGGTAATTAAACCCGGTCCCTACAGATACTGGCCCGTCCCCACCCCGAGTTTGACGGAGAAAACCCGAGTTAATCTGGAGACGTGGACGGGTTCGGGTTTTTCCCGCTTTAAAAGTCGGGGACGGGAATGGATAATGCAATCCCCATCCCGACCCCGTCCCGATTTTATATTTAAATTTAAAATTTAAAATATTAATACTTTAAATGTATTTTCTTTTCTTTTTTTCCTATTACATATAAGATTATTTTTTTAATATTTCACCAATTTTTATTTTTCTTCTACCCACTTTTAATTTTTTTGTCTTTTTTAATCTTTTATATCAATTAATTTATTACATTTTTCTCTCTTACCTTTCTTTTTTTTTTACATTTCCTTAATTTCTCCCATCAATTTATTTATTTTTTTAATCTTTTCAATCAATTTGATGAACACAAAGTAAAATTTTTCTTTATCTTTTTCTAAATATTTTACATAAATCATAATAGTAACTAATATTATTTTATTTATAATTTATATTTATTAGGTTTTATTATGTCATATTTTTTTTATCTTATTATTCTTATTTATCATATATCAAATTTTATCTTAATAAAATAATTGTATTTTAAAGGATTAAAAAAATTGATAATTTAAACTTTTATTACTTCGAACTAATTAAATAAGAATTAACTTATTAAATATTTTCTTATAAACTATATATTTCATATTTTTAAATGACAACTTAAAAATGAATTAACTTATATACATAATTAAATGTTTGAATATAGTATTATAATAATAATGTTATAAGTATTCAAATATTTGAATAGTATAATAATAATAATAATGTTATAAATATTCTCTCTATATATATAAATAAAAAATAATTAAATATTTTTTTACATTCATATTATAATATAAATATAATAAATTAAAATGTATATTTAATTAATAATAATTATAAATTATAAAATTATAAATATTTATTTATATATAAAAAATACATAATAAAATTAATTTATTATAAATGTAATTATCTTTTTAAAAATAATATAAATCGGGGATGGGACTGGGAACCCGAAACCAGCTAAAACGGGATGGGGACTTAATTTTTAACCCCATGGGATCGGGGACGGGATGGTTAAAAAAATCGGGAGTGGAGATCGAGGAGGCAAAAACTGTCCCCGCCCCGTTGCAATGCCTAGACATGCACAAAACAAGGAAAGTGAGAATTTAAACCAAATACCTTAGATTGAACCTCGAGAGCTTGTTCACAGCCAGAACCATCCTCTCCTTCTGAATCAGTCATCTCTTCACACTCAAACTCTACATGTTCTTCAATATCTTCCTCAGAATCGCTTAACTCTTCCTGCTCCATCACTATCTCAGGATGAGACTGATTACCACTATCATCTTCATCATATCTAGCAATATCATTAGGAACAACTGCAGGGGCACTGGAAGCAGGCCCATGACTAATAGCTGAAACATTTTCACCACCCTTCTTCTGACAATGAAGAACATTATCCTCTTGAGGTTCCCTCGCTATTCCACTAATTTCTACAGTTTTCTTGGATCCTACTGGATCATGTGCCTTTGGCTGTCTACTGTTCACATATTTCTCCCTTCCAGATACAGAACTAAGATGAATCTCCAAATCAAGTTCATTGGATTTGTCACTAAAGCCGGAAGATCTATTGGCTATTGCTGGCACACCACTAGTACCCAGTGACTCAGGCTGGTTGGCATCAAAATTTGGTGATCGTGCACCATCAGATTTCTGCAGAAGTGGATGAAAATCAATGCCTCTGGATCTTAAAATGGAATCTTTTGACTTTAAGGACTTGTTAGCACAATCAATGTGGCTTTGTTGCTGCGAGTTATGGAAGAGACTCAGATTTAATTGTGGTTGGTTTCCTGGGAAGAAGCTGAATGAACTAGAAGTGCCAGAACTAAATTTCAAAGGATAATAAGGAACATTGCCATCTTCAGTGACCTGGAACAAGAGAGGATGCATCTGGAGATCAGTACAAGTGCCTTTTTCTTCCACAATAGATCTGCGTTCAACAGTTTCAGATCTTTCTAATTGAGAACCTTTGACAGTGTCTTTCAATGCAGGTCTTGCACCTTTAACAGGATGAACATTTTCAGATTTGTCACCATGAGGATTTTGAGAAGCAGAATGATCCTCTCCGCAAGCAGCTACCCCACCTCCAGGAGCAAAAACCTTGGACGTTCCACACTGGAATCCTTTAAAAGCATTTTGAGAAACTACCCGGACAGAAGGAGGAAGATTTACAGGGGGCAATTCTGGTGCTAATTTCACCAAGTGGGCATTATGAGCCCTCCGAGACCGATAGGGCCGACAATAGTATTTGGAGCTAGAGGTCACATTAAAAACTGGTTTTCTAGGATTAATGGTGCTAGGAGCATCATTCATTCCATTTCTCAAATCAGATGAGGCGCGAAAAAACTGAGGTAGGTTAGATACAGATGGAAATGCAGACTGATTACCATTCTGATTTCGGACTTTTCCTCTTAAACCATAATCTTGTGTACCCCTATAAAATTGAATGTCTTGAGAAAATGCATGGTGAGCAACATTTCCTTCTCCAGATGTAGTGGGAATGCGTTCAGAATAAGCAAGAGCAGATGTGTCTGGCCTCCAATCTGCCAGAAATGCCTGGTGGACGTATGGTACATCTGAATAATCCATGCACTCTGAACCAGCAATTTCAGTATCACAATCCTGCAATAAATCCAAAAAAAAAAAAACTATAATAGTAAATCCAAAAATCTGTGAATTCTACTCCTCAATAACCCATAGAAAAGCCAGATAGCCCAGTGTTACGATAGAAAAACTGGCAGTGTACTAGTGTAGAGGTGAGAAGTTTTGTACATGCCAAACACAATTTAGAAATATATACTAGCATATGCATAAACACTTCCACAATTTTCAATGATTTCTAATTTCTTATTAGCATGTGAACCAAGATTTCATAAATGTAAATTGAAAACTGTACATTGTGTGCCAGTCACTAGTCCAAAGCCATTCAGGTAGTTAACAAAAAGCAACATTTAAGAAGACTATAATGGCATCTTATACGCATCTAAGACCAGGGAGATAAAATTCAACAGAATTATAAGCTCCAGACAGTAACAAACCTCTTTATCAGATATAGCACGCCAACTTTCTAATGTGGCAGCCTTCAACTTTCTTCTTTGTGACTCATACAATCTCCGCTTCTCCCTTTTCGATGCGTCTATCTTATATGACTTTTGGGTGCCAAGTGCGATGCGCCACTGGCGTGGAAGCAAGGATGGATCTCTATGTGGAACTATATATTGCCATACTGACATCCAATCAAATTTATAAATCTTGAGTCCCTGTCATACATCGGCAAGTCACAATAATGCTACCTAGCAGAAAATTTTCAAATCCAAAATGAAGTTGAAATATTGTATATATTACCTCTTGAATGCACGCTATCTCCTCTGCAGTCAATGGGGAGGTTTTCATTCTTCGAACTGCCTGTACAGAGAAATCGGGTAAATAATATCAAGCATTATTTTCATCAAACTGGGTATAGAATGGTTCCATACGTGCCACAAGCCTATAAAAACAGAGCTATAATATACATTTAGGCTATAAAGTGAAAACAGCTGAGATGTGTTAAGAAGGCATGTTGAAACAAGGATAAGGATCTAAATCAAAATAATCAGTGATGTTGGTGTGATTAAATATCCAAATTCTTACAAAGTTGAAACATTATCTTGTGGAATGAGCTGGATAAAGTCTCATGTTTTTATTGGTTCACCATATATATATGTAGAATGAGCTAAGTTGAATTTATAATTCAAACAGAAGTAAAGGGAAGTGGTGCACAGTACAAAATCATCTGATAAAATTATAATAAAATTAAATAAACTTGTTCTCATTAATTAAACAAACAGAAAAGATATACACCACATTTCATTTTATAGGATTATGCATATAAATTTACCTTTATTGGATTCTCTGATGCTTTTGAAGAGCAACGATTCTTCTGCCTGACAAAAATCTGTAACCAGAACATTCCATTTTATATTGGATAGATAACAACGTATATGATGATATTGAAATTGTTGAACTAAATTATTCAACAAAACATTTCAAATTAACTCAAAAATTAGCAAAAAGAAGGATTGCATCTCACCATCATGATGACAATTCAATACTATAGAATAAACCCAACCAAACACAAATGATGAAACGTAACGTAGCAGAACCATGTTAATGAGATAAAAGTGTATCTAGAACATCACTTTTACAGCTAAGAATGTATTCCCCAACCGATGAGTAAAATAGTATACTATGCCATATAACAATTATTAAAATAAAACCAACTTTCCAGAGCTGTATCCAGGACACTACCTTGACAAGTAGACTCTCTTTATTGACAAATTATATGGTTTTGTCATTGAAACATGCTTGTTAGAGTAAAAGAGGCAGTTGCAAACAGTCAGGGACGGACTCATTTACATTGATTTTTTTTTTTTCTTTTTTCACTTCTTAACCTGTGTTTCATGGAATCCTACTGTTGGGCGTAGTGTTTTGTAGACACTATGTTTTAGTATTTCTTCAGCCAAAAGAATGTGTGGCATTAGCCAGCAAATGGCAATTAGTAACAGATGTAAGCCTACATTGCATTTTACCAAAGGATCTTTGTACAATTACTACTAAAGGGTATTAATTAATCTAACCAATAAAACACATCCAAACAATTTAATCATACAAATTTTTATGATGACCAATAAAAGAAACAACTGTGATTCAAGTTTCAATATAGAACCATAAGAATGCTCCCATATCAGGGAAAATATCTGAAGGAAGAAAAACATAGCATAAAAAACGTTAACATACTTGTATCTGCCAAAACAAAACAGCTATTCACTGTAAGCAAGAACATGATAGCATAAAAAAAATGAAGATGCTTCAACAATTAAAATTTTGCTTGCCCCAAAAAAAAAATCCTCAGAAGAAATCTGCAATAGTATCTACCTGATGCTTAGACTTGCAGGGAAGAAAACGTTGTTGAATTGCTTTCCAATCTGTATTATATTCCATTATCCCTAAGGCTAATAATCTGGAATAAAATTAAAAGAGATGTTATCTCCATAAGCTTCTCACATGCAATCGATATGAAAGAGAGGTAATAAATCGTTAAAAAATTAAGACTTAGTCAACTATGAAGAGAAAATTATTTGATATGCAAGCTATAGTATAAATTAGTAACGAATCAAAAAATGCTCTTAGCTCCAAAATAAAACAAAGAAAAAGAGACAGCCAAGCAAACACCAACAGGATATAATATCAATTTGTATCCAATCTCACAAAGACCAGAATAGGTAGTTGTGTACAATGTATATTATAAATTAAAAAACATATTTCATGAAAAGGAAATATTCTCATTAAAAGAAAAGTGTAGAAGAGTACAAAGAAAGAGAAAAATACTTGAACATGCTCTTGCACACATACACGTAATCCAAACATAGACAAATAAATAACCAGGAAAGAACATGTAGAGCATCAAATTCAAGGGAACACGCCAGATAAAATATTAAAATAAATATCTTCATCAGAGACATCTAATATGACTATTTTTTTCTGCTTCACTTGTCAAAAAGCTTGTTCATATCCATAACCAACTAAAGCAAATCTTGAGGTCTAAGTGGAATTTTTAAAATTACTAAAACAAGCATAATATGATAAACAGTTGTATTTTCATCTGAGACAAGATGGATATACACAGTAGAGTCTTGCTTGCTAGCTTTATCAAGCTTCATGTCCTCAGACACAATAATCCAACAACCATGATGAATTTAGAGGGATAAAGAAGAAACACAAAACAAAATGTTTTAATGAGAAATCAAAATGGGAATACTTTCTTATAGTATACAGTAGAATGTGTCACATAGGTTATGCAAGACATCCATATATAAATAGGTTCATATTAGATATTAGGGAGACTATTTCCTAGGCTACTGTTATTTGAGTGCATCTTCCCAAACACTAATAGACATGAGTACTAAATGTGTTTTATATTGTGATAAATTAACTACTATTCCTAAGGGTATTAATTAATATCAAATCCAACCAGCCAAAACAATTAATTTAATCTGGATATTAACATTCAGCATTAAATTTAAACTCATAAAAGTTCTACATATAAGTGTCATGGTGAGTAGGACAATATTGTCCCTTTTAGAATTTATGCATTGAGGCTTCAATCCCTGCAAATTTAAGAGAAAACAATAATTGCAGCACAAGGAATATGGATGAAGGGGACAAAACCTACACAATCTGCACATTATTTCTTTTGTTGTTGAGATCCTACATTGACTAGATACATGGCCAGTGCTTATAAGGCATGAGTAATCCTCACCTTATAGTCGGTTTATGAGCTTCAATTAAATCATAAACCCAAATTCTAAAATGGTATCGAAACCGATCATATATCTATTACAGGGTCACCTGTATTTGTTTACACTTTAAATGTCTATTCCTAAGCATGAGGGGGAATTGCTATTGGCCATCCACATTTGTTCAAATTCAGATGGCCACTCTTAGACATGAGGAGGAGTGTTCGGATATCACATCAACTATATAGTCAATGTATTCCTTATAGCCATTTTTGTCGGATAACAGGGGCCCTAAGCCCATATTCTAAAATATGTCAAGCAAATTGCATGAGGTTTAGACTTTGAACCCAAATCACAAAATAGTCCCAAAATCAATGCTAGATCCTTTTTAGGGCCATTTGCATTTGTTTACACTCTAGATCTCTATTCCTAGACAAGGATGGCACTGTTTTCTGGCCACCTGAATCTGTCCATGCTCTAAATCTCCAATCCTGGGCATGAAAACATACTAGAGATATAGCCATTTTAGTCCTTATAAGACTTGAAAGATCTTCACCTTACAATCCAGATTTGTGGGATTAATTTAGATCCTAAATTTAACTCTAAGATCTGCTAAGAACATGTCCACATTTAAGACACATGCATGTGTCACAATATTCTTTAAACATACTTAAACTCGTACATAAAAGTTCAAAAGTTTACTTTCGTACTTTAGACCTCAAAGCTACCAACCTATCTACATCACAGCATATGTAAACACAATGCATGGTCAATCATTTAGTACTGTTGGTTGGCATAATGAGGAGGCATACAACTTACTCATCCTCAGAATCAGTGAAAAGTATCCTATTTACAACTGCTGCTGGGGGTGGCTTGTGCGGGAATAATGCTGGATTGAACAAAGCCAAAAATCTTTGAGCTAACTTTGCAACTTCCTTTGGCACCAATGCAATTGACTGCTTCTTTGTACTTTCGACAAGTATAGCAGCCAATGTTTTCTTAGGTTGTTGTTGACCAGGCGAATTTGATACTGCATTAACTGATCTAGAGATGGTTCCACTGGAAAATTCACTATTAGCTTCAGCAACTAATGAAGAAAAAGGAAAGAGAGGTTCCTTTTCAACAGGTGAATCAGAACTAGACTCAATGTATCTCTTCCGAAACTCTTGGGCAGCTGTAAAAGAAATTTCAAACCAATTCCTGAGTATGCAGAATTCATTTTTACAAACCAGTACAAAATGGAATAACCAGAAGAAAAATTCAAGTCTTTAAAAATGACCTACCAGAATTAATGTCATCAGCGTATCTTCTTACTAAATGAAGAGGAGAAACATCCAAAATAGATTGTACAGGGCCTCTTACAAAGGGAACCCATAAAGAACTCTCAGTAGGAGGAGCATATTCTTCTATGTTGGACTGGACCTGGACAAACTTTGATCCTACATCGGACACTGATGACCAAGCAAAAGATGGAGAAAAGCAAACAGTGGGATATGGAACTCTTTTCGAAGCTAATATTTCATCACGTTTGTGAATCATCTCAAAAAGCAAACCTTGAACCTGAGAAGCAACCTGTTTCTGGGAAGGTTCAAGAACCGACATAGAGAATACCTGAATAAGAAGTTGTACATGCTCATGAATCAAACAGTGCAATTGACCAATCTGCAGGGGAGTAAACCCGTTGACAAGACCATTTCCTGAAGCAGAAGATTGAAAGCTCAGAGAAGATTCGGAATTCAAGCCTTTCCCTGAAGCTAGGTTTCCGTTAAGCCAATTAGGCAAAATGGGGCGCAGTGGCCTCTTCACTTCTCCTAATGTTTTCTTCTCAGACTGGACGGAGACCTTTTGGCGCTTATTTTGTCTAGTCTCAGGTCGTCGTCCAGCTTGATCGTACTCTTTCCGGGTTTTTACCAATGAGTTGTCTTCAGCATCACTTTCCAATAACTCCTCCAATTCTATCTCAAAGTCTGCATCATTATCCTCATCATCATCATCAAGATTTTCATTTTCATGAGTCGAAAGACTATCACCTTCCCCACCCTGTAAAACAGCTGTCAAAAATTTTTTATACTCCTCTTCGTCATCAGCATTTTGGAGATCATCATCGTCATCAGTTTCTTGAAGAAAAGTCTCAAGCTCATCAAGGGTAAAACTTGCAAGTGAATACCGAGCTCTGGTGCGCATACAGATAGCATCCTCATTGTCTATGTCTATTACAGGACTCCGGGATTTTGTTTTGTTACTTAGTTCCCCTGTCCTAGAACCATTGGCATCAGCCACGCTGGTTAGGTCATTGTGCTTGGCTTGATTAATCTCTGACTGAGAGATCATACCAGAAGGTGGTAAAATAATTTCTTCCTCACCATGTGCAGTATCTACAGCAGTACAGATTTGCTCCTTAGTTGTTACCTTTGATAGCTCTGAACCTACAGATGGCTCACTACTGACCACATTACCATCCAAACCATCAACTTCAGAGCTCAAACTTGAAGATGCTTCTTGTGAAAGAGTTTCCTTTAGAAAAGGGTTAAAATCTGCATCTTCATCTTCCTCCTCCTCCCCTTCTTCTTTATCCTCCTCAGGTTTCAAGGTCCTCCCACGGTTGTCAGAAGAAGAAAGTGCATTCTGATTCATGGCAAGGCAAACTTCAGCTGACTGTGAATTTGAACCTAAGGGCATCTTACACAAACAAGGTATGGCCACAGTTTACTCTTGAGATGAGATCCTCAGAGACATTCAAAAGTATGTATTAGAGGCAATATCCATGAGATGGAAGTTGGAATGACCACAGACCCTGAAAGAAAGAAAGAAAAAGCAGTAACTAATAGAAAAGAGGGTGTACAGTGTATATGCATACACATTCCAACTCCAATCACATCTAAGATGAATGCGACAAAAATTTATTTCAAAGCAAATACTGATTTTATTGAAAACTAAAATTAAACCACCAGACTAAATTAATAATTAACAAAGAAGGTGATTTTTGACAATCCGAAAATTAATCAGTTTCCAAAAACACTAGTTAATCTCCAGCAGCATGAGCATTCAATCAAGCAAATAAAAAATTAAGCTAAACTAGGGACCACAATAATTTACATGCCACAAGTGATCTTTTATAATCTTATCACAATCTATGAGAAAATTAGAGATCGACAAAATATAGCAACAATAGATCAAACCACTTATGCGAGTATAACCACTAACAGCAATGTTGCATTATTGTGTACACAGTGGACACATATTTTGTTGTGTTACTTAATAAAGTCAATTGCACTGGTTTAATTCTCCGGCACCCTCCCCTCATGCCTTCACCTGAAAGATTACACGGTTATCCTTTCTCCCAATGAGAGATTAAGCACGATACAATAATACCTAATAAACTCTAATAATTTAAGGAAATAATCTTTTATCACTAAACACTCCACAGCCTAACAATTCCCACAAGCTAAAACTCTCAACATTCAACAGGACGTCAACGCAGCCTAAACCCAATCGCATTGCTAAGGAAATTAATTCAGAAAACAAGAGCTAATTCTCAAATCCAAGCAACACCCGAATTGCGATTGATCAGTTATAATTTCAGTACGGTGAATAATAATTAAGAATTGACAACAAGAAAAAGTTGCATTGCGAAGAACCCTAACAACCTAAAGCAATTTGTACCTAACCAAAAAAAAATAAAAAATAAAAAATCGGAAGAAGTAACGAAATTAGTGGTGAGAAACGCACGTGTAGAAGCGGAGAGTTGCGTTGATGCTGCGATGGGCGAACAATTTGCGGAGCGAAATGAGTGTGCCGTGGAGAAGAGGTGTGTACGCAAGCAATGAGCGTGCTCGTACTACACTGTTTTTTTTTTTTTCCTTCTGTGTTTACGTTTTTGTTTTCTCCCTCTGGAACGGGGAAATTTTCAAGCTTTGCATCATTTTTTTTCTTTTCTTTTCTTGTATTCCCCCTATGTATTATGCTTTCTGCCTTCACGAATCAAAACGCACAGCTCTGAGAATTCCTCTCTCCCCTCCTCCTTCAGATTATTCCTTTATATATATATATATATATATATATATATATATATATATATATCTTTTTTGCTGAAAATTAAGTAGTAACTGTTTAATTTAAAAATTTTATTATATACAAATTAAGAAACAGATGAAACTGTTCCAAGAAAAATCTAATAATAAAAGTAACGGAGTGAGTGTGAATAAGATTTATCTTATTCTTATGGAGTTGAATATTTGGGTAAGTTGAATTTGATAATTTTGGTGAATTGGGAACAAAAATTATCAACTATCAACTTTTATTATCATAGGGTAAAGACATCTAGTTCTTGTAGAGAAAAATAACAATATTTCACCTCCATTTATAATAAAAACATAACATTGGGTAGATACATAATTATGTAACGCCCATGGTATTCACATATATTTAATGTATCTCCTTATTTAGTCTACACCAAGTTACTTACTTTCTCTTTACCCTATTCCACCATAATTCCCAATTACTTTGTTTGCTTGCAAAATTATTTTTGAAATCAGTAGTCAAGAAATTTCAAATTTCCATCCTTAAAAAACCAACTTTACTTATCCAAACACCTTTTTTATTATTTTACTAATCCTTAATATTCTTATTTTGGCAAAAAAAATAAAATTAAAGTTTCTCTCAACCTTTTTAGTTACCATTAATATTAATGAGGACTATTTTGTTTTATTAACACTGAAAACATTAGTTAGGACTATATATTGATCAACGATTTTTTAAACTAATATTTATAAAGTTATTTTTCAGCCACTAATAGTTAGGGTTATTTTTATTAGTACCAATGAGACTAGTTTTTTTTATTGTTGTAAATCATGGGTTTTTATCTAGGTCTCAGTTATTTTTCTATTCATATTTGTCAATGTTTTCTCAACTTATGTCAACGAGGACAAGTTTTTTTTTTTTTGTTCCGACTCATTTTTTTCAATTGAAATTTTAAACAAATATTATTTTATCAATACATTTGTTTTTTTTTATCTATATCACTAGCAGTGTATTTAGATACAATTAAAATATCCGATCTAAATAACAAAATAAAATTTATTAAATATTAATTATCTTATCAAAATAAAATATTTCAAAATTAAATAAATTCAAATAAATTTATTTTAATTTAATCATTTTTTTCAATTATAAAAATATTATCCAAATATAAAGTAAAAATTAAAAATATATTTTATTATTCCACTATACTAAAGAGATATGGAAATAAATTATAGAAGTGTAGAAAACAATTATCATCTATAAATTGTGGTTACATCCATGTGTGGTCCAACCATCCAATCCAACAAATTTTATTTTATTTTTCAATTTATCATGTCTGGAATTAATTTATTTCTAAAATAATTATTTGTTTTTGACAAATTTTGGAATTTGAAAAGAAAAAAAAAAGTCAGAAATTAATAATGAAAGCGCATAATGTATGGTCCAAAAGCTAGGGGGCCTTGTGAGCCCAAAAGAAAATACTGGTTTCGTTTTCATGAAAAAGAGGCACAACACAACACAACCATTAGGCTCTTGGACCTAACTGGTTTCAATATTGTACCCATCATCCATCACTTTTCCATTCAAATCATTCAACCTCTCTCTTTCTCACTCTCAGAGGGCCCATTTGTCTTTGTCCACAAATTTTGTTCATCAAATAAGATATTTGGATATGATGTCTTTGGGGGAACCTTTTCCATTTATTTAAGAGTCATTTCAGTGAATAATTAATCTTAGATTTAAGCTAAATTTTAGGCTAATCATTGCACTAGATGAACCACTATCGATTCATTGCCTTCATTTGTTTTTAAAAATGTTTTTTTTTTTTATGTGAGATGTGTTGTAGTCTTGAACAAAACAAAATTATGTGTGATGTTACAGTTAAGTTATCAAATAGTGAATCTCACAAAATAAAATGAATCTCTTGCTGACGTTGCAAGTAATAATTTCCTGGGATTAGATTCATTGATGGTTAACTGTATTTTTCAAATGACTTTGTTTTGTTTTCAATAATCGGTAAACGACAAGAGAAACGGAAAATGATAATGATGAAATTACTCCTGGACTCAGAATCGAATATATAGGAATGAGTTCATGAGTTTATTATTTATCCGTGTGCAACGTAGAGTGAGAGAAAGACAGTGACGGGTTTCGTAAATTTGATACTTGCTTACTAAACGTTAACTTTGCTGATTTTGACTTGAGCGACTCTGGAATCTCGAAACAAAGTTTTCATTACGATATCCAGAAATAAAATTAACAAGAGCATATACTATGAGATAAACATATGTAAAGAAAAAAGATGGTTGGTGGTATTTTCTTTCCCTAAACAAATAGGGTCCCTGTTTCGAAAAGACAAGTGCAAGAACTTATGTGATTCTCAGCATTTGCACAAGAACCAACCAATCAAAGTGACCTTCAAACACTTTTCTAAGAAAACGGTGTTGCTTGTCTCATTATCGGCAAACCGTAATAATACCATTATTTAGCATTCTTTTTAGTTTTCACCAAACCAATCATTCAATTAACATTAAACTGCTTTCAATTGGGTTAACTCAATATTTCTTTACACTTCGCCATTAGTGGAAATAATCCTTTCCCTTCTTTTCTTCTATCATCATATTTTTAAGAAAATAAATTATATCACACCTCACGTAAACCTAAAATTAAAGGGAAGACATAATAAAGTGGCCTTGGCCGGAGAAGATCTTGATAAAATTCACAAACTCCAATTACATGCTAATTCATTATTACGGCTCAGGCTCACTGGCCACTGAGTTGGTCTCTCATCGCCCGAGTCCACTCAGCCGAATCATCGCCCACAAAAACCAAAACAATTGTCGTTAACTACTACCCATCCATCACTTACAATCTCATTAACCATAACAACAATAATAATAAACACAAAACTGATATTCTGTTTCATAAATATTTTTAGTATTGATATTTTTTTTTATCTAAAATTAGAGTTTTATTTTGATGAATCATCAAAATAATACTTCAAATTCTAGTTAAAAAAACAGAACTAAACATACTTACGAAACTGCGTTTTGTGTTTATACGACCAGTAGAAACATAAACACTGGCGTTTATGTGGCTGTGTTTCTTTAACGATAAAATTATATATTGTAATAATTTATGGTGCTAACCCGGGGAAAGTCCAAACTTAAACCGGGTCATCACCCGTCGAACCCGGTTTGGCTCCAGACCGCGTCACGAACCCGGCTCAAGTCGCGGCCCTTCAACGTGCGGCCCACGCCTTCAAACACCGAATTCGCCACCATCTTTTGGCTACGCGCCAAGTACTCGTGCGGTGGCACCATCTCCGACTCGTCATCGTCCTCGTCATCGTTCATCGACTCGATCGAGTCCACTCGGAGAATCTTGCTCCAGTCCGGCACGTTCACCGGTGCCGACGTCGCCAAGTGGCGTCCACGCGGCGATGCCACCATTTCTTCTCGCGCGCGGAACTGGTGCACGATCCTCGGCGAAGCGCCACTCGCCGGAGCTTCAAACGCCAGCGACAGACCTCCCACGCGACGGTGGTTCTCCGTGTCACGTGGAATCCGCCGCCGGCTGTCCCCGCCGTTGCTTCCGGCGGAGGCGTGTGGCTCCCACTCGCGCTCGCTGGAGTCACCACCAGCGCTCCAGACATCCTCCTCCCGGAGCTCTGAAGAGTCCACGGCTGCGGAGCCGCCGCCGTGAGGGTAGGCGAAGGTTCCCAAAAAGCGCTCGCTCCGGCTGGTCGTTAGCTTGCGACCTTTGGCCATATGCGGCGGCGGAATCGGTTGCGCCGCCGCCGGATATTTGATCGGAAGTGGCTCACGGAAAGAGTTGCGCACTATTTTTTTTTTTATCACAACTACACTAATGAGTCCATTGCTCTGATGCTTGAGCTGGGGGGCACATAGTTGCCACTTCCTCTGTATATATAACGTTTGTTCGCAATTTCATTTGAATTTGAGTTTGGGGTTCATTTTGTCTGAATTTACTCTGGTGTAAGTAATGTTACGGTGACGTGGAATTTAACCAATGATTTCGACATAGTTAACGTTGAAAATTTTATTATTATTATTATTATTAGATGACGTGTGTTGTCGTTGATGACACGCGACTGTGGCGGTGCGTGGGATAACTCGCCAATTTTGTGGGAGTAGAAAAAAAAGAGTGGTACCACCGTGCGTGAAAGTTTCTATTTTGGGATGTTAAGCCATCTCTGAAACATTTGAAAAGGTTTTTTCCATTTTAGGGCGTTGTAGAGAGTTAGAGAGGAGGCTTCGCTCATTTTTCATTGCGGTCAAAACAGAGGAAAAAGAAAGATGCAGAATATTCAGGTTTTTTTGGGTGGTCTCACACTCTCACTGTTTAAGACTTCTCTTTATGCTAATAAATCTAATCTTAATTATTGTTTGCTTTTACTTCGTATTTTTCTCTGATAATCTTTTGTTCTGAAAGGCATGGTTTCTTGATTTAGATTTTAGAGAAGAAAGAGACGTGAAAGGAAAATAAACATTTATCATGACAATTTCTATCTCGCTTGGAATAGAATAATAGAGCACGAGCTAGAGAAAACGAAATTGTTATGTTTACTCTTTTTCTACAAAATTCAAATACATTTATTGAAAGAAACGAATAATGGCTCTGATACGGTGATCCCAATATAATTTTTATTTTATTTTAACTATGGAAATGTCATTTAATTAAATTATAATTTTCCTTTTTTAATATTGTCGAACAAATAGAAAATATAAATATCCTTCCATTTTTATTGTGTTTCTTCACTCAAGATAACTTTATATATATATATATATATATCTCTATATATATGTGTGTGTGTGTTTTATTTTATTCGTTTTTCATACGAATGAAGGGGACAAGTTCATTTTCTTTCCATTACATCACTCATCGTTATGAGAAAAAGAATGTAGGTTGTGAGTTTTAAATGCACTGGTACAAGAAGTTGCTACTCCATCGACAATGTTTTGTTGCTATGAGAAATTTTCATGAGTTTTTATTTTAATTTTATTTCAAATACTTGTCTTGGTTTTAAAAATTTAAAGTTACTACTTTTAATTTTTAATATTACAGTAATTAATTAATTGTGTGCTGAACAAATTAGGAAAATTTCCAAGCTAGTGAGATATATTAATGTTATGTTGTTATATTTTATTATTATCTCACATCTTAAAACAGTTATTAAATATCATAAAATTAATATTATTTATCCACCTTAAAAAGAATATTACGATTTAAAAATATCGAGATAAGAAAAAAATGAAAAACATTTATAAAAAATTACATATTTTATAATGACTAAAAATAATAATTTGAAGCTTTGAAAAATATATATAGGATGAAAGTCAAAACTCACCATATTAAAGTTTGAATTATATTTGATTGTATGTAACGAGAAAAACTACGCCAACTATTTAATATGTACAAATGTTATTAATACACTGTAAGAGAAAGTTTATAATATTGATTGTGGTGAATATTTGATCGATTTCAATTTTTTATATTCTAATCAAATTTCAACCATGTAGATTATTTTTGCTTAGGCCAACAAACAGTTTTCAATCGAAACATGTATGAGAATCGAAAATATCACAATATCAATACTACAGTGTCGAGAAATGTTAATAATGCAATATATATTTCAGATAGACAATCGAAAGTTTTTTTTTTTGGTAATTTTTTATTAAGAACGTGAAGTAAAGAAAACAGTAAAACGTATCGAAAATGAAAGGCAGTACAGAATGTTAAACTACAGAGAAATGTAAATGCAGAAACCTCGAAATTGGGAAATGTAAATAACAGGAATTTGAAATTGCAGAAGTGTAAATGGCAAAGAACTTAAACGCAGAATCTTAACTTGCATAAAGATGAAAATGACAAGGAACTAAAAGGACAAAAACTTAAAGTTGGTAAACGTAAATCGCATGAAAGTAAATTACATGAAATTAAATTACCAGGGAAAGTAAAGAAAGCGATAAAAGCAATCAACGAAAATGGAAATCTAGAGCATTAGAAACTTCATGATGCGTCGTTCTCCTCTAGACTTTTCACTTATATTTCTGTTTTCTTTGTCAATTTCCCCCTTTCCTTCACTCTTCGCTCTATTTATAGAGCATCCTTCAAGTAACTGATGGTATAAAAAAAGGCCAAAAAACAAATATAACAACTTGACAAAGAGTAATAATGCAGCGGAAATTCAATCCCCCTTCTTGCGAGAATCAGCGAGGAGCACCAAACAAATAGAATCCAAAGCACAAAGAGACACCAACAATTTTAACGTGGAAAACCCCTCAATGCAAGGGTAAAAACCACGAGTCGTCCAGACCAAAGAAAAATCCACTATGATCAATAATGGGGTACACAAGAGTCTCCAATAATAATACCAAAAGGTATTTTCAATAAGCAGAATTAACTAAGCACAAATGCTTACAAAAGAGAAACAAAGAAGATGAAAAATCTCCAAAACAGGGCTGCTGGTGCGGGACCAATTTCTCCCAATCTAGACCTTCGATTGACGATCCGAACGGTCAGAATGAAGAACCATATGTCTGGAACCTACTATCCAAAAATCAGCTCGATCCAACGGTGAACGACTTCACAGCGACGAAAACACCAGTGCAGATTTAGGGTTATGCGGAGATGACTTTCTCTCTTTCTTTTCTCTCACTAGACTTTTTGTCTTTTTTCAAATGACTTCTCTTGTCCTCTACTAATCTGACCCATCTCATTTTACCCAAATGAGACATAATGGACCACACTATTTGGGCCTATTCTCCACATAGGAAGGGAGCCCAATAACCCAACAAATCTCCCCTCACGACTATGTGGAGATATCCGCCAAGCCGGCGATCTCACAACAAACTTCAAACTTTCCTCTTGGCAATGCCTTGGTCATCATATCAGCACCATTATCATCTGTATGAACTTTAGCTAGTTCCACCAACTTAGCATCCAAAACATCACGTATCCAATGATACCTCACATCAATATGTTTGGATTTAGAATGAAAAGTTGGATTCTTACCAAGATGAATAGTACTTTGACTTGTCACAATACAACAAGTATTTATCTTGCACAAAACCAAGCTCCTGCAAGAATTTCTTCACCCATAACAACTCTTTGCATGCTTCAGTAAGTGCAATGAATTACTGCCTCGATAGTAGACAACGCCACACACTTTTGCAACTTTGATTGCCAAGCCAAAGCTCCCCTGCAAACCGAATCAAATAGCCTGAAGTGGACTTTCCGGAATCAATGTCTCCAGCCATATCCGAATCGAGTAACCCACCAAAGTAGGCTTATCACCTCCAAAACAAAGTCTCAAACCTCTAGTACCACGAAGATACCTCAAAATCCATTTCACGACATTCCAATGCTCTCTACCTGGATTTGACGAATCTGCTAACTGTACCAACAGCGTGTGCAATATCGAGGCCTTGTACATACCATTGCATACATCAAACTACCCACCGAGAAGCATAAGGAACTTTTCTCATAGCTATCTTCTCAACTTCATTTGAAGGACTTTGTTTAACACTCAACTTAAAATGAGTAGCAAGAGGAGTACTTACAACCTTAGCATTCTCCATTTGGAATCTTTGCAATACCTTCGAATGTAGTGCTCCTGTGATAGCCAAAGTTTCTTCTCTTTTCTATCACGAGTGATACTTATACCAAGAATCTTCTTAGCAGCTCCCATGTCTTTCATGGCAAATGACTTGCCCGAGTTGCTTCTTCAACCTCGTCAATTTTGGAAACATCTTTTCCAACAATAAGCATGTCATCAACATATAACAACGGGATAATGAAATCATTCTCAGAAAATTTCCTGACAAAAACACAATGGTCGAAGTAGTCTTCTTGTAGCCTTGCTCACACATAACGGACTCAAACTTCTTATACCACTGCCTTGGAGCTTGCTTCAAACCATATAGGCTTTTTCGTAGCCTACACACATAGTCTTCCTTGCCTTCAACAAGAAAACCATCCGGTTGCTTCATGTAAATCTCTTCCTCCAAATCACCATGAAGGAAGGTCTGTCTTCACATCCATCTCGCTCAACTTCCAAATCAAGAGTAGCGACTAAACTTAACACAGTTCGGATAGATGTCATCCTCACCACAGGTGAGAAAATCTCATTGAAGTCAACACCCTTTCTTTGTCTAAAGCCTTTCACCACTAATCTGGCTTTATATCCGGTAGATGTAGAATTGCTCTCTTGCTTCACCCTGAAGATCCACCTGTTCTCTAAGGCTCTCTTACCCTTAGGCAACTTCACCAAGTCATAAGTGTGATTATCATGCAGCGATTTCATCTCATCCTGCATTGCATCCAACCACTTTTGCTTTTCTTCACTTTCAACGGCCTCCTCATAACATTCGGGTTCTCCTTCATCGATCAACATCACATACTCATTGGTAGAGTACTTCTTAGAAGGTTGTCTTGGCCTGTCGAGATCTTCTAGGTTGAGTTTCGGGTAGCTCGGGTATATCACCAAGACTCTCATCATGTGATACATCATGTTCCTCTTCATCAACATTATCAATAGGAACATCCAAGCTATCTTCAACCTGTTGATTATCGGTATCACCATGTTGTTCATCATCATGAGCATCAATATCCAAATCATTAATAGACAACCGAATTGGATCAACATCATCCACATTACCATTTCCTTTAGGTGTAGACTTCTTCTCCTTATCAATATCTTCAATGGTTTGATCTTCCATGAATTGCACATCACGACTTCTAACAA